TTTCTGTATTATTCTTTGGATAAATTATATGTTGGAGTTCCTGGGAGTGATGCAATTGGTCGTAAAGGGATATTTGGCTTGTCTATTTTGAGTCTGCTGTAGAATCCGGGTAGGATTGGTCCATTGGATTTCATTCGCCAATGGTCTTATTTTGTGATCTGTCCAGTTTTGGTGAGCTTTTTTAAGGTCCTTTGGATGCGGTTGTCCAATGTTTGTTGTTGATATACATTATCGTCTTTGAGTAGTTCTTCAAATTTCTTGGTGTATTCTTTTCTGTCCCTGACTACTGTTGTTTTTCCTTTGTTGACTGGTAGAATGACACTTTCATTTAATGAAAAAAACTTTTTATTTTATTTTATTATAGTTTGATTCCACACAGTATTTTTGGTACAAGGATGGCACTTTCAGCATGTGATATCAGTAGCCCAAATTTAGCAGGCCGACCATTGATCTCAGGTGTGTCAATAGGGGATCGAACTCCGGACCATGTGCATGGCCAAAAAGCGTCCTAATCGCTGTGCCACCGACGCACAGATACCGTACATATCAAGTTTTAGTGGAACCTACCTACCTGGCTACCATCCATTCAATGAATATAAGCCTCTTAATTCTTGAATTAATTATTCTACCTCACCACTTAACGCAACTAGTTGAAAGACAGATTGGACTTTCTTTTTTTTTTTAATTGCGTCTTAACTTCAACGAGGATTTATGAGACAGTACTTCATTCCACATGACTAACCTATATATAACAACCGACCGAAATGCTGTCAGATTACAGTTCATCCACTTGATTCGATACGTCGTGTGGTCGAGTGTGTGTGGGTGTTGAAAGACCCACTGGACTTTCTTTTTTTTCAATTCATGGATAATCCCCATCCAGGCATTAATGAAAACAAAACACGCAGATCAGCGAAGAGTCTCTTTTAGGCGAATTCATTTTCTTTTTCTTTTCAGGTGCAAGAAACCCTACATGAACTTGGATTTCAAGCGAGATTTAGCAAGCGATATTTTTAAGAGAAGGATCACATCATCTCTGAGAAAAACATTCTTCGCAGCAACACTAAGAATAGTGTTCTCCAGTCGCCCACTGATCTGCAGAAGCCTCAAGGAGAAGAGCCCGAATCTGACCACTTTTATGTGCATATATAAGTTCACCTGCTGCTGTGGAGCCAGCCAGGTACATCGGTCGTTCGACGATCACCCTGTTCAAGAGGATTCAAAAACACTATCCAGAATGGTTGCGAAAAGGCAATAGTGGTGCAATAAGGAGACCGATAATTGAACACCTGGTTAACACTGATCATTCCATTTCAACAAACGCCTCCTGCTTCAAAGTAATCTACAGAGTCAGGAATAACCTATCAAAGGCAATACGGTTTCGTCTTCTTTGTATCGCTGAAGCCCTGGTCGTTCACATAGAAAAACTGGAGCTGTGCATACAAAAGAGGATTACTCAACCACTTCTGCTATCATGGTAATAACGTTTTTGATTTTGATGACTTAACTTTGTTTGTTTGCCTGTTCTTTAATTGCTTATAATTCTTGCATTCATTTAGAACTCTTCCGTAATTTCTTATTATCTACTTTATTCTTGTGTGTATCCTGAGTAGAACTCACTCATCAAACGATTCGTATTATTTCATAACTTCTTTTAACAGCTGCTGTTTGTGACAACTCATCATCTTTGTTACTACCCTAATTTCATTAACATCTAATTTTCTTGACTTGTATCACCAATCTTCACCTGTTTAGTTAAAATAACTATAATCAATTGTATTTTTGTTTGACAAACTTAATGTACACATACATACAAAACAATGCATATATATATTTGCGATTGTATAGCTAAGAAAATGAATTCGCTGTCGAAAACAGACTCTTCGCTGATCTACGTGTTTTGTTTCCTTTTTTTATTGCATCTTAACTTCAAAGAAGAGTTATGAGACGGTGCTACATTCTACATGACTACTTTATATAACAACCAACCAAAATGATGTCAGATTACACTTCATCCACTTGATTCAATACATCGTGTGGTCGAGTGTGTGTGTGTGTATGTGTGTCTACAATTGAAGAGTTGTAAACAAAGATGAAACAACTGTTCAGTGGTCTAGAGTGTTTCTCTGCCACTCAATCTGCATACACACACACCCACACCCACACCCACACTCTATGTGGCACAAACCAACTGTGTTAAGAGACTTCATGGACTGATGTTTAAAGTTTCAGTTTGACCACCTCCAACTTTTCTGCAACCTTCTCCTTTCGTAGCGTATGCTACTGATAAAACTTATCAGTAGTATAGATATGTAGGAAGAGAGGTTCATCGGCATAAAACATCAAATAGTAGGGAGATAGATTTGACGTCAATCAGAGAAAGTAAATCATACAGAATAGCAGAGATACATGCGAGACGTCAAGCTTTATTGTTATTGTACTTCTAAATATTTATAATCCTCCTTTTTTTTGTTTCTATTTGTTTACTTTTTTTATTTATTTATTTTTGATTACAGCTTGATTCCACACCGTATTTTTGGTACAAGTATGGAATTTTCAGCGTGGATATCGGTAGCCCAAATTTCGCAGGCCAACCATAGATATCAGGTGTGCGTCGGCGAGGGCTCGAACCCCGGACCATAAGCATGGTCGGCGAGAGTCCTAACCACTGTGCCATCTCATAGGTGTAAACATCATTTAAGCAATCTTGTTGCTTTTTGTTGTCTTTCCCCAACTATGCTACATCAACAGAACACCAGATTCAATAATCTATAATAACATGCTAACATTTCCAAACTGAACTGACAATACTGCTTGAAACAAACCCACGGTTATTACTATCATTAGAGTTATTATTCTCAATTTGTACTTCGAGTATTTTTGACTTTATATCCTAAATGTGAACAAATTCTTCTGGTTAATTTTGTTTTAATTTTCGACTTTATTTAAATTTTGAGTAAATCAGATGTTACAATTGCTGAGAATTCCATTCTGCATTATAAGTACTGTCTGTTTTGGAATAATTTATTATTTTTTTTTATAATCTTGATTACAGCTAGATTCCACACTGTACTTTTTTTTATACAAATATGGAATTTTCAGCATGTGATATCGGTAGCCCAAATTTTGCAGGCCAACCAATTGATATCAAGTGTGCGTCGGCAGGGGATCGAACCTCGGACCATGTGCATGGTTGGCGAGAGTCCTAAACACTGTGCCACTGATGCACATTGATTATTATTATTATTAACTAAAATAACCAACTTGATTTGTAGCATCTGGATGTAAAAGACTACAGATTAGTGTATAGCCAGGAGATGAATAAGGAAGTAATTGCATTGAATCTGTTGTTTTTTCTATATCCGAAAATGAGAACTTTAAAAATACATTCAACTTGAAACAAGATATCAACCAACGATGCTTTCTTTTTTAAAGATGTAAGGCTAAGTAACTATCTTAGTAATAATAATAATTATAATAATAATAATAACAATAATTTCGTTTATTCCAAAAACAGTACTTGTGATACAGAATGGAATTCTCAGCATTTCACTACACACAGGATTGCATCCAGTTAGTACATTGACAAAAAAATAAAATTCTACTTAGATTATGGGTTATCTCAGTTAATTTTGACAACAACATATTAGCATATCGGTAACAAAGCCAAACGTGAACAGAATGTTTGAAGGTGTCAGAAAAGTAGGTGCTAGCATATCTACTGGTGTAAGCGGTAATAAAAAGGTCGAGATATACAGTGTGAAAGAACGAAGAAGAATGTTTTAAGCAGAGTTTATAATGAAGAAAGAAACAAAGCTGCATATAACAGAAAAAAAGGAAGAGAGAAAATTAAAAGAAAGAAAGAAAACGTTGTACCTATAAATGACATGAGTTGGAAAGACGAGATTCAATTGTTCTACTGACTATATAACAAGTTATAAGTTTCACGCCTAATGCTTTCTTTATTGCACAGAACACGAGCTAAGTAGGTAGGGTATGGTTGAGTTTTTGTACTTACTAGTGCGAGTATGTAGTTTTCTATATAGGCTTCTGGTTCTGCCTGCCTGATGAGATACAAGGGGAGAGTTCTGAATGAAGAGGGTGGTGGTGTGAGTTAGATAGATAGAATGGATTTAGCCCATTTTCCACATGAGTCCATGTGCCTGTCAACCAGAATACTAACAAGCTGGTTAAGTTGCACATTGCTCACCCTGCTGACAATTTTTAACACCCTACCTTATAAGATATAGTCCTTCTTCAGTAGCCCTACAAAAACTAAGGGGGAACAATAGAGAATAATAGGCAGGATGCAAGGGTTAATGAATCGTAAGAGTAAGGGTTCGGTTATTCCAGAATGTCTTAACTTCTTGATTTAGAAGCTAAGACGGAATATTTTCTTAGAAATCATCAAGATATGAGACGACCAAGAGAGATCAGCAGATAGAATGACGCCAAGATATCTAACTTTCTACTTGGTCTCTATTTCACTGCCGTCTATGTTGCAGACGTCGTGATCGCTAACCAGTTTGTTTAGGTCAGATTTATGCCTACAAGTGAAACTGACATGTTTAGATTAGATTAAATTAAATAACTCTACACGTGAGTCAGTGACACAGTGATAGAATGCTCGCCAACCACGCCTTGTGTGGTCCATGATTCGGTTGCCGGCCACCGACGAACACTTCCGTTACCTCCCTAAACCAGAAATAAGATTGGTAAAGAGGGAAGGTTGGGCATGACGGCTGGTTAGAGCAACCGCATCCCTTAAAATTAAAAAAACTGAAACTTCAAGCCTCTAACTTGAAACCACGTGGTCCTCATGAGAACGTGAAGGAATACAAAAATAAATAACTTCACATAAATCTAATGAACTAACTAATTCTACCTAACAATATTAATAATGGATGATAATAATAGTCGACCAAAATAAAAACAATCTTCATAAATACATCTGACCTTATTTTTTCAAATTCAAACACAAAATTAAATTAATAACTCACCGAGGTAATGGACACTTTCCAACTAATCGTGAAGCTTGATAGAATTTAATCAATACCAGACGACATCGTTGCAGAATACTACGTACAGCTGTTTTGCTAACCATTAGAGAAAAACTTGTATTTATTGCATTTACTTTATAATTGTTATTATAATAATAATTATTATTATCAATAGAATTATTATCCAATAGTATTTGTGTTGATGTAGTTGATGTCCTTGAATTTGTAGGCGATGAGAAAGCATGCGACAACAGTTTACTAAAGCATAAACGAGCAAATTTTTCACGAAAACTTGTCTGTCTTAAACGATCTAAATCAATATCCCAAGTGAGTAGTGATTCATTCATCAAAGAATCTTGAGGTACTTCTTCAGTGACTGCATTCATTTGACGAACAGCACGACCTAATCCTTTGGGGAATTTAGCTTCATTATTCGATTCAGTTGACTGACAATGCATCGTTGTTGTAGGTAGTGTTGTTAACTTATTGTCAGAGTGATCAAAAGATCCATTCATCAAAACAGCATCTTCATCACTAGGAGCATTGTGATCACCATTATTATTGGTGATACTGACAGGTACAGCTGACTGGACAGAGCCTACACTCAGTATATTGATTAGTCGGCTAATAAAGAACTCCGGTAGTTGTGCAGGATTCGACAGGAATAAATCACTGATTAAATCGACAAACTGTGGTGTATTTGACGAAAAGAACAAGGGGGGGGGAAGGAGAAATTAAAATAATCAATCATTTGAAGCAAGTGAATAAGTAGCATATTAAAGTAGTATCTGACACAATTAAAATGTGATTACATATTTTGAATTAATGTAAGTGATCCAAAACGGAAACTTCAGCTAGGCGTTTGGAGTAAACACAGGAGTCAGACAACGGTACTCTCTTATTATCACCAATGATATTCCTAATTGTGGTGGACTGCATTAGGCGTCAGACAGTGGGAAACGAGAAGACAGGGATATCCTGGACAGACAGATGTGAAGGATATAGAAGACCTGGATTTCGCGCGTCGATCATTTATGCTTGATGTCACACAAAATTGAAGACTTACAAGCGAAAACCGACCGACAAACTGGTCGAAGAAGCAGCCGGAGAAGACAGGACTCCAGGTGAACATAGACATGATGGAGGTTATGAAAATAACCAGCCAATAACAACAACAACAGCAACAAGATCCAGCGCCAATCACCATCACCGGGAGGGATTTGAAAGAGGTTACTTCATTCACTTATCTAGGGAGCATTGTCTCAACTACAGGAGGAACGGATGAGGATGTCAAATCGAGCGAAAATCCGGTGGGGAGCGAGAAACACATTCATCAACCTGAAACCAATCTGGAAATCTTCGTCATTCAACTCAGCATCAACAACAAAATAATCACCAACAAGAAACTATGGCTGGGAACAAACAAAACAAGAACCAATCGCCCACCAACCAACAAATATGCAGGAGAAAGTGGAGATGGATGGATTGGACATTCGCTGAGGAGGCCGCCAGTGGGTGACATCGCGCGCGCGTCAGGCCATTGCTCGAGTGTAAACCGAAAGGGAAGTGGCGAATGGGACGTCAGTGCAAAGGTGACACATGGAGGAGATCGTGTGACGAGGAGTTGAAAGAGTATGGACTAACATGGATGCAGGTGAAAAGTTCGGCAGAAGGAAGACAGAAGCAAGTGGAGACGTGCAGTTGAAGCCATATGTTCGTTCCACTAGGAACCCAAGGGAACAATAATAATAATAATAATCTACCTCTTTTTCATTTGGCAGAGTGATGGTATTCCTACCTGAGACCAAGCACTTTGATCCAATCAATCGATGGGGAAATCTAAATTGAAATAAATAAATAATTAATAGAACCCGTTCTATAAGAGGTGATTCTCGTGACCCAAATGAATGGTCTAGTGTAGAACGCCTTGGCATTTGAGGCTATGAGCAATGGGTCTGAACCTCAATGTGAAAATTATCACTGACTGACTCATTGGGGCATTCAGGAACATCCTATTGGCATGAAACTCGCGTTATCCTGGATTCGACTGATAGACATCATCCACCAATTTAACCATTGTTTCGTAATAACTCAATAAATAGAATTAGCCACAATGTGAACGGTAACAGTCAGACAGTTCATGAATAAAGGGAGAAGCCACTTGTCAGCTACACAGCTACACAAATTAACAGTGATAGAGTCGACAATAATAATAATAATATTAAAGCGATCATCTAACCTAATCTTGCGATGTATTCTGAACCAAGTCAGCAATGACCTCAGTGAGAAAGAGATGTGAACCAATGCAAAAAGAAGTAGAAGTGTATCTTAAATTTCCCGGATCATAGTTTTTCGAGTATACATCAGAGAACAAATGTGAATCTGGGAAGTATATACGAAATTTTCTTTCTTTTTTGTTGATTATATACAGCCATCGTGGACATGAAGAGGCAAAATTCAAACAGGCATTCACTATCTTTCACTTCATTCCACCTCCTATCTGTCAAACACAGGACTTCGGGTAAACATAGAGGAAACGGAGGTGACAATGAATATTCCTGGTCAACAGCAACAGCAATAACAACAAGGACAGACAACAATCACCCAGCATAAATGGAAGGGACCTGAAAGAAACAACCTCCTTTATCTACCTGGGAAGCATCGTTTCAACTACAGGCGGACAGAACTGATGGGGATATCAAAGCAGCGGGGATCAGGAAAGCAAGACAAGCTTTCATTACTCTCAAGTCTGTGTGGAGGTCAACAGCACTACTCAGGATGAAAAATAAGATCTGGATTTTCAACTCAAATGTGAAGTCAGTACTACCTACTATACGGATCAGAGACTTGGCGCGTCATTAAGAGCATTCCAAGCAAACTACATACCTACATCAACAGCTGTCTTCTCTGAGCTAGCGTTGGATGATGATTTGTTTGCGAAGCTTTCAATGCCCTACTAGCTAGCTAGGCAACATCTTCAGCGTCATACGCTTCAATTTGATGAAGTCAGCTTTAAGATTTCTCCACGAGTTTATTAGTAGTCATCGCTCCTGGTGACCACCTGGAACCTCATGATTAGTTGCTTCTCTGCGTTTCCACTCCCTCTCTCTAGTCTACTTGTATTGGAATTGATTGTCTTCTTAACTTGAACTTTGACCGTTTGTGTGTGAGATTTCCTTCTCCTTCTTATGGATTGGTTAATTTTGTCTATCTCGATGTGTCTATTGACTGACGACGATTCACTGGAATACCAGGCTTCTAAAAATTATCTAGCTAGCATTCTTAGTGTTTCCTCTGTCTAATACTTGAACGTTCAACCACGGGCATCAATTCAACAGGGACAAGCCTAGTATTCCAGTGAATCATCAATCAATAGACACATCAACATAGACAAAATTTACTAATCGATAAGAAGAAGGGAAGCTCATGCACACCAAAACAACCAATCAATCACAAGGTTTCAGGTGGTCACTAGGAGAGATGACTTATAAACTCGTGGAGAAATCTAAAAGCTGACTTCATCGAGTTGAAGCGTATGCGCTAATTATGTTGCCTAGCAAGTAGAGCATTGAAAGCTTGTCAAATAAACTAAATTCAACAGTACGCCAGAGAATTCCGCGTATTATTTACAAAACTTAACAAAATAAATCTAAGGACAGTAACAAACATACAGTATCTCCTTTTCTGCTTATAATAAACATTTTAGGATAAAATCAAGCCATATAATGAGAAAAATAAAATAAACTTACTTTACAGTCCAATTCTTCATGAAGTTGAAACTCCTCAATGGATAATGACGACGGAGGTTGACTAGAAAAATACAATTGTGAGTAGAAATCAGAAACAGAATCTCCTTATAATGAGGATAACAATGGAATACCAGACAGCATCATTATATTATTATTATTTCGTACTTTTTCAATTATAGACTTCAAGCAGTTAACCTGCAGTTCTAGTGAGAAGTTTCGATAAAGAAAGGAAGATGAAATTTACAGTAAAATCGGTAAATTTGCAGTAATATCATTCTATTTCATAGGTGTGCGTCGGTGGCACAGTGGTTAGGACTCTCGCCGACCATGGACATGATCCAAGGTTCGATCCCCTGCCGACGCACACCCGATATCAATTGGTCAGCCTGTGAAATTCGGGCTACCGATATCGATGTTGAAAATTCCATACTTGTACCAAAAATACGGTGTGGAATCAAGCTGTAATCAAAATATAAAAAAAAAATAAAAGTTCTGATCAGCTGAAAACCACTACCTGAAATTATTACAATGTTTATATGAGTGATAATAACATGTTTGAGTGGTAGTAGAGAAAGGATACTATAAAACTGACGCATTCAAAGTGTAAGCATTACAAATTCCAGTTTAAGATTTCATCATCAATTTATACGCTTTGAAAGTTGAAAAGAGGGGGGAGGGTTAAAACAGAAAACAGAAAAAACTGATTAACAGACCAGTGTTAGCTTGTCGATTCCCATACCAACTTGAAAAAAAAAAGCGGTTACAGTTTATGAGATTAAGATTTGTTCAGTGAGTTGAAATCACTTAATTAGATGACTAATTTCAGGATTTCATCATGAGCTGACACCAGTTAGAGAACCATTGGAAAACCTGGGAGTACTGGACAGCTGTTTCGTCCTAGTTTGGGACTCTTCAGCAGTCGTGACCAGTAGGGTGCAGCTGGTCGGGTGTGAGGACAAATACTCGCCGAAGACATTCGCTAGCGGTCGCGCTATGTCGTGAATTGGCAGAAGTTAGAATTCAAGGACCATTGGATCGGGTCCCAGTGGCTTAATGGTATGCGAGCTCGCCTTGTAACCGGAAGGTCCTGGGTTCGAATCCCGGTGGGTGCGTACTGCTGAAGAGTCCCAAACTAGGCTGACGAAACGGCTGTCCATTACTCCCTGCAGGTTTTCCAATGGTTCTCTAACTAATGTCAGCTCATGATGAAATCCTGAAACCAATCAAATCCCTACAAACCAACACTTGAATAGATGACTAATTAATGTAATGAAAAGCAAATTTACTACGATTTGCCGAAGCCATCACAATCAAACGGTTTAAACCAGACTTATACATACAGAAAGAGAGTGTGATTAGTCTCTCACTCCCTTGGTAACTGAATTTTGATTTTAACAACATTAATTAGTCATTTAATTCAGTGATCTCAACTCACTAAATAAATCTTAATCTCATAAACTGTAATCGCATTTGTTCTTTGAGTTGCTATGCGAATCTACAAGCTAACACTGGTTGTTAATTTTTTCAATTTTCTGACTAACCCCTTCCCCCCTCTTTTCAACTTTAAAAGCGTATAAATTGATGATGAAAACTTAAACTAAAAATTTTATTGCTTACATTTTGGATGCGTCAATTTTATAGTATCTCTTCTCTACTACCGCTCAAACATTAAAGTATGTTATTATCATCTATATAACCATTGTAATTTTAGATAGTGGTCTTCAGCTGATGAGAACATGTGAAATAGAATATCATTTTGTGCTGCAAATTTCGTCTTCCTTTTTTTCTATCGAAATTTATCAAGGGAACCAAAGGTATGAAGATATTGAGAAGTGGTCGCGCTATGTCATGAATTGTCAGAAGTTAGAATTCATGGGCTGACCACTGGATCGATCGGGTCCCAGTGATTGGCTTAATTGGTCTATGAGCTCGTTAGCCTTGTAATCAGAAGGTTGAGGGGAGGTGCCAACGCTGTTGGTGGGCGCGTACGCATATACTAAACGACTCTTTTCTATATCCGTGTGCTGAGATTTCGTCAGCGATCAATCAGCTTATAGGACTGATCGATGAAACTCCCCCCCCCGCACCGCACCTCCACCCCCAACTAAGCGAAGTGGTCGTCAGTCAGTCAGTGTGTTAGTTCATTTATTTCAGAAATTCAAAAAAAAAAATTTTTAAGGTTTCACATTTTCCTTCAATTTAATTTTGAAGACAGAAGAAAGCATTACAACGTGAATAATGCATTGTTATTATTTTGTTTTAATAAACTTTCAAACTCCTCTGTGTTATTTGAGTAGAGCTCAAAACTAAAAAAACTATCCCATGTTTCGTTTCTTTTCTATACAAATAGAACAAAAGTAATCCCTGGATAAAGAAAAGCCAACAATGATAACCTGAGTTGTGTATAAGGAGGAAACAATTTCACTTTTGGAGATCGTTGTTTCTTGAACATAGAAACAACTTGCATATATATATATATATATAATTATTATTATTAATATATCCTTTAATTTCTAAAGGAAAATAGGGCTTCAGCTGTGCACCTCCATTGTCTTCTGTTTTCTGCCAACTTTTTCACCCCGCTCCATGTCTGCCCACATGCTTTCATCTCCTCCTCACATGACCTCCTCCAAGTCCCCTCACACTGACGACCAACTGACTCGCCGCTTCCCTTTCGGCGGGTTCCACTCGAGCCACGGCTTATCTAGTGATGTCACTTGATGATTTGTTTCCTCAGAGTATGGCCAATGCAATCCACCTCCATTTCTTCCTGCCTATTTGTTGCACAATTGGTTCCGGCTGGGTTGGTTCGCTCATTGCCAGAGATCCCTGCCTGTTTCTGATCTTTTCTGACCGGCCATCTGATTTTAAGTAGTAGGGAGCGAAGACAGCTGTTAATGAAGGTCTGAAGTTTGTTGGAGATGCTCTTTATGACTCCCAAGTCTCTCATCCATGTAGTAGCACTGACTAACTTCGCATTGGACTTGAAAATCCGGATCTTATTTTCATTTTCGAGCTGAGTGCTGTTGACCTCCACACAGATTTGAGAGTAATGAAAGCTTGTCTTGCCTTCCCATTCCTCGCTGCTTTGATATCCTCATCAGTTCCGTCCGCCTGTAGTTGAAACGATGCTTCCCAGGTAGATAAAGGAGGTTGTTTCTTTCAGGTCCCTACCATTTATGCTGGCTACTACATCTCCATGCCAAATATCTTTTAAAAATGATCAGTCCAGGGATGAAGAGTTGGCTTCAAGTTCGATAGATTTTTACATCAAATGTAACTTTGTCAAAATTACATACTAAGTTTATTATAAAACATTTTTTCAGTGAATTGTGTTAAAAGGAGTTATGCATATATAATTATATATATATATATATATATATATATATATATATACTACGGGCCGAACTGACGAGGATATCAAAGACAGAATCCGAAAAGCAAGACAAGCTTTCATTACTCTCAAGTCTGTGTGGAGGTCAACAGCACTCAGCTCGAAAATGAAAATAAGATCCGGATTTTCAAGTCCAATGCGAAGTTAGTCAGTGCTACTACATGGATGAGAGACTTGGGAGTCATAAAGAGCATCTCCAACAAACTTCAGACCTTCATTAACAGCTGTCTTCGCTCCCTACTACTTAAAATCAGATGGCCGGTCAGAAAAGATCAGAAACAGGCAGGGATCTCTGGCAATGAGCGAACCAACCCAGCCGGAACCAATTGTGCAACAAATAGGCAGGAAGAAATGGAGGTGGATTGCATTGGCCATACTCTGAGGAAACAAATCATCAAGTGACATCACTAGATAAGCCGTGGCTCGAGTGGAACCCGCCGAAAGGGAAGCGGCGAGTCAGTTGGTCGTCAGTGTGAGGGGACTTGGAGGAGGTCATGTGAGGAGGAGATGAAAGCATGTGGGCAGACATGGAGCGGGGTGAAAAAGTTGGCAGAAAACAGAAGACAATGGAGGTGCACAGCTGAAGCCCTATTTTCCTTTAGAAATTAAAGCATATGTTAACAATAATAATAATAATAATGGAGATGTGGTTCATCATTTGGCTTAAACACCCCCTGGTCAGTAGATGAGCGAAAAAGTTCAAGTCAACACACTCCCCATCATTCAGCCAAGAAAACTAGGTAGAATTATCAGTCCTGACAAGACCAGTGTGGCTTGGATTTCGCTTCGATGAAGTAAAAAACGGTATCGCAGAGAGACTGATAAGTATATGCAATTTATTCAAAAAGGAAAAGAAAAATATCACAGCTTCCCTTGATAGACTAATCATTCTATTCGATATTCGAAGAAAACAGATCCTGGATTTAGACTCTGCTCCGCTTAATTCATCAAAAACGATACCCTGCAGACAGAATACATGAGCTCTTGACACGCAATAACCGCAGAATACAAAAAAACGGCATACTATGTGACAACCTGAGTTAGTTTTCGCTTTCGCTATCGAAAGTTTGACAGAGTACTGTAGAAACCCATTGAGTTCCTTGACTGTCGACGGGTCCTTGCTACTTTTTCAATTCATGAAAAAAATTCCCATTAGAACATTAATAGACGAGAGACCAGCAGTAGTTCAGCGAAGAGTCTCTTTTCGCTGGTGAATTCATTTTCATAACTGCACAATCGCAAATATATATACATATATATGATTGTTTTGCATGTGTGTACATTAAATTTATCAAAAAAATACAATTAGTAAGTTCAGATGAATTGGATGTTGATATAAGGGGATATTAACAAAAGTGATGAGTTGTTACAAATGATTGTTGAAGAAGAGTTACATAATAACGTGAATAGTTTGATGAAAGAGTTGTGCTCACGGTGTACATGGAGACAAAATAACATACGGCATTATGCAAGGGTTTTAAGTAGTTAAAAAAAAAAGCATACAAACAAAAGTTAAGTCAAAACAACGGAGTTGTTACCATGATAGCGGAAGTGGTTGAATAATTTTCTTTTGTATGCATAGTTCTGATTCTTCCAACTGAATAGCTAGGGTTTCTACGATGCAAAGATGACGGAATTGCGATTGTACAGCTATGAAAATGAATTCGCCAGCGAAAAGATACTCTTCTCTGAACTACTGGTCTTCTGTCTGTATTAATGTTCGAATGAGAATTTTTCATCAACCTGAGTTAGCACTATTTTCAAAAACACCCTTCAACATACTGTGGCGAGTGCTACTCATAAGATTTATCAGTAATATATAAGGAGACATTTATCAGCATAAAAAAACCCATATGGACATTAGAAAGAAGACAACACGAAGTTCAGCAAATATGACGATCTTTTCGGCGATTTCATTCTCAAAAGTAGCTGTACAATCGCATTTATATAGATTATGTTACATGGATACAATTATTATTTGTTTAATTTCACATAGTAACGAAGGTGATAATAATTTTCAACTTGATATGGTACTATGAACGTACGAATATAGATTACAAGGGGCTTATAGATAAGAGTTCATAGGATTAGAAACCATGGTCCTAGCTTGGTATGTTCCATTTGTTTCCGTATTTTCTTTCTCTTCCTCGTCTGTTTTCATTCTCGCTTTTTCCTTTAGAGCATTTTTCGTTCGCTGTGTATCTGATTCTTAGTCCCTCAATCTTCGTTTAATCCACCTAATTTTCTTTTCAGCTATGAACACAGTTATTTTAAGTTTGTTCCCATGCTTTTCCCTGTTCACATTTATAATTTTCTCAAACTGAATATCAGACAGAGAAATTAGGAAAAACGATAATACAAATACATAAATTTCTACGCTGCACTGAACGCCCTCCAGGGTAGTAGTAATAGTGGCTGGCTAGTTGGCTAGATTTGTTTCTTCTGCACGAACAGCACTGGTTGTTTCGCGTGAATTGTGATATCCTCCTCACCGCCTTCGAGTATTCTTGTTGGTACTTGGATATTTTTGTGAATATATTTGGTACCCGGTAGGATGATAGAGAAGGACTCTTCAATTCTGGCTGGTTTCGTGACCGATTAGGATCAAGTGGTCTAATATTCAGTTGTTGATGGTTGTCACTACACCTTGATTTAATCACACCACTACACTGGTAGGTGGTCCCGAGAAAGCACGAGGAATCAATTTCCCAAAATCAAAGGCCAGTATAACTGGTTACACCGATAGCTCAGTTGAGTTGGTAGATATCATTAGAAGTGGCTAGTCTTGTCTACGTACTTCATCTTTTAATCGGGGAACCACTATCGGTCACTTGGATAATGAATAAGACTTGGAGTTTTCCAGCACTACAAGTTTTCCTAACTTGTTGGTAATTACTTCCGCACATTTGTGCAAAGTTCTATGTCGAAAACAGACAGACAGACTTCGCGAGGTATATCGACCTTGAATTTCAGTCGTATGCATAAAAGTTTCATGTTTACGGATAGTGAATGGTCGTTTTCCACTTTCCTAATCATATGATTCCTGATGTGTCACACACAGTCTTAAAGTCATCTTCAATTATCTCTTCTGAGTATACAGTCCGAACCCTGTAGCTGAGGATCCTCATTAAACTTCTTTTGTAATGGAGAGGAAGGAAGCTGTGCGAATGTGTATACTGTCCTCTCCAAGTGCTTTTCCTATGCAAATTTGTCTTCATACTCCTATCTAGTCTTTTTGTAAGGAGGACATCTAGGGATTCCTCTCCGAACGTTGATTTCATAGCCAAATGTACTGCATTCATCTGAGTCATTATTGTGTTCCTATCCGAATCATTATCACAAAGAATTAAGGTATCATCCATATACTGGCAAAACATGAGAATTTTCCAACAAGGTCGTTGAAAGAAGCGTTCTCTAGTTCACCCACTACTAGGGGGAGTCCATCGTTACTCCGTTTACTTGTCTGTGAGGTGTACCATCAAATTTGAAATTTACATTCATGGTACATCTTAATATCAATTCTTTTATGACTTCTCTTGGGATACCAATATTTTTCGACTGGTTATGTCCTTTTCCTCATATGTTTCTACTACAGGTACATTTGTAAATAAAATGTTATTTTCAAGTATATCATAGTTCCATCTTTGATATTACTGTCTTTGATTTTGTTTACGAATTCAAATACATCTTTGACGCTGTGTTTCACTGACGACTGCTCATGCAAAGGTTTGAGAATATTTACTAACCATTTGGTTACAGCATGGGTAGGGAGGATTTTACTTTTGAAGTATTGGTATTGAGGGTACCCCTAGTGTTTGTACTCTAGGTAGGCCATAACAATCTTGGCGTGTACTTGGCCGTTGACCTGATTTCTTCATACTACCTTTCTGTCTGTCTGTCTGTTTTCGACATAGAACAAATTTGCACATATGTGCGGCAGTTCAAGTTGCCACACTCCCTTCCTCCTTGTAGCACACAAAGCAAGAGAAGAAAGTACAAGAGAAGCATAATAGAGACAGTAAGCAGAGGTGTGAGACAAAGGAGTAGTAATAACGGAGAACAATACAGTTTCATTGGAAATCATAAGTCACAAGGAGTGGATGTATCTGCGCCACTGGGAACAATTTTGAGCCATGTCACCAATTGTTTCCAACCACTGGCTTTTACCGTCCCGAGTACCCCGACCATGAAGCCAGTCTACACCTTCCTACGTGGCTCAGACTAACTGTTGTAAATTTCAGTGACTGGTGCCACGGTTTTGTTTGACCTCCGCTAGCTTTTTTCCAGCCTGACCCTATATCCACTAACATTGCTCGTCGAGAAAGGCGATGACTAGGCCAGACACACGTAACACATGTCCTAACCATCTCAGTCTTTGTAACTTCACAACTTCGTCGATTGATTTCCCTTGCTTACCTACCTAACACTCGACTCACACCTAAGCTCAATATTCCTCACCTTGTTATACCACCTTACATACACGGGAGATAGAACGCAGGCACCTATGATCAAAGACAGCTAGTCTTCTCATGTCTTCCACTCTCAGTGGCCAGGTCCGGCTCACAGCCATAAAGGAGGACGGAGTGGAGCAGTACACCCGCCCTTTGGTTGATAGTCGGATATCTCTACCTTTCAGGAAATATCTGTTCCTCCCTTAGTTTCTTCAAACGTCTGGTTAATTCGTTCTCTATTGTGTTATTGAAATCTTTCGTAATTATGTATATATAACTGTAGAACCTGATGATGAAGGAGTTATCAAAAAGAATATGCTTTGTTCAGTAATAAGTCTTTGGAAAAACAACATTATAATGGACATTTTTAATCAGTTCAAATCAAACATTCCTTAACCAAGTCTTTCACACACACACACACACACACAATATATATATATATATATATATATATATGGCTTACTTTTGACAGAAAAGAAAATCTTGAATCGTATCGACAATTTGTTTGCATAAATCATGATTAGATGAAGTATCTATAAAAACGAAGAATACATACACATAAACATATAAGAATAAATTGTAGAAATTTTAAAAAATTTATATATTAAACAAAACCCCGGCTAGAAATCCAACTTACGGTAATAGACAGCTACAGTTTTGTAGAGGAAGCAAATTACCATTATCAGCTGTTGTTTTGTGTTTATTTCCCAGTGTTTCTCATATTCTGCTGCTAATCAATTCATGCATACAATACTATCGTTAAACAAGGAGGGAACAATGTCTGTCTTCTTGTTAAAATCAAATGAACATGTATTACAAACAAACCATGAACTAGATATATCAAGATAACTCAGATAGATTTGTGGATAAATTCATTCATTCAAACTGTGTTTTTTTATGTATGGTCATGTGTTAATTTCTTAAATAAAGGATCTGTTTCCTGACCCTTGTCTTCTCTTGTTACATTTAGTGTCGCTGCCTACCGACAATTGGAAAGCCTATGTCCCGCAGTTTTTGACGAAGACATATGGATCTTCGGAAGGGACTTGGAGGTTTCTGAGCAGTTGAGTGGCGTTCCAGATCTGTCAGCGATGAAGCTGTTACCTGGGACGCTTCTGAGAGGTCGGGAGAAAGCAGCATATGAAATTGTGACGTGAAATACCGATGAATGTGTGACAGGGTACGTATCGATGAAGTGTCAGTCGCAAACTAGGCTGATGAAACAGCTGTTACAGGATCGCATCATGAGCTGACATAATTCATGGGTGGCCTTTGGATCGGGTCCCAGTGGCTTAATGGTATACGAACTCGCCTTGTAACCAGAAGCTCCTGGGGGTTCAAAACCTGGCGTGGTGGGTGCGTACTGATGAAGAGTCTCAAACTAGGACGAAACAGCTGGCTGCCAGGTACACTCCCAGATGGTTTTCCCAGTAGTTCTCTAACCAATGTCAGTTCATGATAAAATCCTGTAACAAAATGAAGAGAAGTTAAATCAAATCCCAGTATATATAATCAACTGGCAAGTCATAAAAGAGATAAACTTACACGCAACAGAATCTTTCTTTTGCATCATTAGGCATGTTTTACTTTTATTATAATTATTATTCACTGATTGATTTGATATCACAATAATACCAGCTGTAATTACTTGAAAAAAGCATCGACAGGCTAATATCCATGTGGTTTGCGAAGGACAGGCATATTTCAACGCCATAGGCTGATGTAATGTCTAGACAATCAATTAGAAGGAAAAAAGTCAAATAAATGAAGACACGAAAACTGAATGTTGGAAAAGCACAAAAGAAAAAAACAAAGCAACAACAAAAAAGTATCAATACGCCCATATAATGAGATAAAAAAAAAAGGTAGAATGATGAAACAGCATACACTCGAGCAAGAGATGGAGGAAAGCGATCAATATTATCGAAAATTATCTTAGATCACGCAATGCCCTAAATGTGTAAGGAAATTGAGGTGAAAGCTTATGAACTTATTTTATTCAAGCCTCAATACTTGTACTAAGGTCATTATTATTATTTCTCCAGTTTGACCACAGATTGAAATGAGTTAGAGAACCATTGAAAACTAGCACTGGAGTACTGGACAGCTAGCTAGCTGTGTTTCATCAGCCTAGTTTGAGACTGACTCATCCATCAGTACTCAACCCCCGCCACTAGGGTTCGAGCATTGAACCTCCCGGTTACAAGGTCAGCTGGAGAGTATACCGTCCTCCAGCCACTGGGACTCGGTGGAACCAATGGCCAGCCTATTGATTCTAACTTCTACCAATTCGTCATCTGTTTTAGCGCAACTGGCATCAACCAATGTCATCGACGGGAAAAATTCATCCTCACTCCCGACTAGATACACCTCACTGCACTGGTCACGACTTGTCTTGTATCTGGGAGGTCCGGGATTCGAGTCCTGGCAGGCTGATGAAACAGGTGGTTGTGCAGTAGTCTGGTGTTGGGTAGGGTTTCCTGAGACGTAATATGAAGAAATCAGGTCAACGGCCAGGTACACGCCAAGATTGTTATGACCTACCTAGAGTACATAAACCAGGGGTACCGTTAAGACAAATACTTCATAAGTAAAATCCTCCCTACCCATGCTGTAACCAAATGGTTAGTAAATATTCTCAAACCTTTGCATGACCAGTCAGTGAAACACAGTGTCAAAGATGTATTTGAATTCGCTAACCAAATCAAAGGTATTAATATCAAGGATATACCTGAAAATAACATTTTATTTACAAATGTACCTGTAGTAGAAACATATTAGAAAAAGGACATAACCAGTCGAAAAATATTGTTATCCCAAGAGAAGTCATAAAAGAATTGATATTAAGATGTACCATGAATGTAAATTTCAAATTTGATGGTACACTTTACAGACAAGTACACGGAGTGACGATGGACTCCCCCTAGTAGTGGGTGAACTAGAAAACGCTTCTTTCAACGACCTTGTTGGAAAATTCTTATGTTTTGCCAGTATATGGATGACATCTTATTTCTTTGTGATAATGATTCGGATAGGAACACAATAATGACTCAGATGAATGCAGTACATTTGGCTATGAAATCCACGTTCGGAGAGGAATCCCTAGATGTCCACCTTACAAAGAAACCAGATGGTAGTATGAAGAGAAATTTGCATAGGAAAAGCACATGGACAGGACACTATACACATTCGCACAGCTTCCTTCCTCTCCAGTACGAAAGAAGTTTAGTGAGGATCGTCAGCTACAGGGTTGGGACTGTATACTCAGAAGAGATAATTGAAGATGACTTTAAGACTGTGTGTGACACATCAGGAATCATATGATTAGGAAAGCGGAAAACGACCATTCACTATCCGTAAACAAGAAACTTTTATGCATACGACTGGAATTCAAGGCCGTATACCTCGCGAAGTAATTACTAACAAGTTAGGAAAACTTGTAGTGCTGGAAAACTCCAAGTCTTATTTATTCTCCACATGACCGGTGGTGGTTCCTCGATTAAAAGATGAAGTACGTAGACAAGACTAGCCACTTCTAATGATATCTACCAACTCAACTGAGCTATCGGTGTAACCAGTTATACTGGCCTTTGATTTTGGGAAATTGATTCCTCGTGCTTTCTCGGGACCACCTACCAGTGTAGTGGTGTGATTAAATCAAGGTGTAGTGACAACCATCAACAAGTGAATATTACACCACTTGGTCCTAATCGGTCACGAAACCAGCCAGAATTGAAGAGTCCTTCTCTATCATCCTACCGGGTACCAAATAAATTCCCAAAAATATCCAGGTACCTACCGATTACACGAAACAGGTGAGGAGGATATCACGATTCACGCGAAACAACCAGTGCTGTTCGTGCAGAAGAAACAATTGTAGACAGCTAACCAGTCACTATTACTACTACCCTGGAGGGCGTTCAGTGCAGCGTAGAAATTCATGTATTTGTATTATCGTTTTCCCTAATTTCTCTTTCTGATATTCAGTGTGTATTGTTATGTTGATTCCACTGATTTTATTATCATTATTATTACTGATTCGATGTTATTTAAAGAACATTAATGCTCACTATTATGTATGAATATGTAACTGTAGAACGTGATGAAGAGCAGGTTGTCGAAAATAGGAATATTCTTTGTTCAGTAAGCATTATCTTCTGAGAAAAATGAGACTCAGGAAATAACTTTAATATGCAGAAATCGAGGGGGTGAAATAAGAGAGAGAGGCACATCGAGAAACATGAGGATCTAGTAACCTAAAAGATAACACAGAAGAATGAATGCAATGGGGAGCAACGAAGAACAATTTTGAACTGTAATCCCCGAATGGTTCCACTAGCTGCTGGTTCTTACTATACTTAGTAACAAAACTAGACAGTCTACACTTACCTTTATATGGCTGAGTCAAACCAACCCAATTACTCAGAAAAGAAACTGTGTGCACATACTGTTCACAAGAGGGTTCAAACACACTGTAGCACTCCAGAGTTGAAAAGAATGGAAGAAAAATACCTACAAACGGTCTTCATAAAGCAGAACGGTTATCCACAAAATTCCATCAAAAAGTGATTAAAATCGAATCACAACACCAACAAGGAACCATTATCCATGACTACAAAAAAATTCATCCTGCCATACATGAAAAATATCTCTGAAATAACAGCTAGAATACTGAAACCGTTTGATATAGATATAGCACACAAGCCAGTCAGTCAAATCACTTAATTCGATATTATGCAAACCAAAAGATCCAACAGAAAAAGGAGATAAAATTAATACCATTTACAAAATAAATTGTATGAACTGTAATAGGCATTACATCGGCCAAAGTGGGCGCCCATTCGAATTAGAACCCAAGAACACAAATCAGCTGTGAAAAGACACGATATATATTCCTGTTTCATATCAGTGCATATAGACAATTATGGACATCAGTTTGATTGGGATAGTGTCGAAATCTTAGACAGAGGAAACACCACCAAAATTGCAGTCAGGGAATTCCTAGAAGCCTGGTACTCGAATGAATATGCAATTAACAAACACGTTAATATAGACCAAATATACCAACTAATAAAAAGTAAATCAGGTGACCAGAAAGTTTAAACTCCAAGTCAATAGAAAATGTTCAATACAGATGTAAAGATGGTTACCGAGAGACGCAGTTACATCACTCATGACTGACTGATTTAAACTAACTTTTGTGAAATTCATTGACTCATGAAGTGATGTTTTCGTTTGACCACCACTACTAGGTAACGCCTTTCCAGCCAGATCCATCCTATGTCAGTCAGTTAACACTGCTCGTCGGTGGAGGAAGCCGATCGATGACTAGGCTAGTCATGCATGTGTAACACATGTCCTAACAATCTCTCTCAATCCATGTAGTAGCTTCACAACCAGCTCGTCGATCGATTCAACACCCCCCCCCCCATCCACCTACCTACCTAGCGCTTAACCATCGATGCTCAGCCTCAATATTTGTCACTCTATTATACCACCAACACCGCCACCACCTAACACACATTGCGAGACAGAACGCAGAGACCTATGATTTAAAGACAACTAGCCAGCCAGCCAGCCAGTCAGACTTTTCATGTCTTCCCGTTTCAATGACCATGCCTAGTTTACTATCATAAAGGAGGACGGAGTGAAGTACTGCTCGATAATCAATCAGCCAGCCGGGTATCACGTCTACTAAGTCAGAGATGGTGTATGTTGGCGTATGCAAAACAAGCCTTCAACAGTACAGAAGAAGACAAGTAAAAACAAGTAAACTAGCAACACACATATGAGATACAGACAATTTTAAATTAGGCAACGATGACAGCAATACGATGAGAAAATTTAGAAAAAAAAAAAAGCCAACCGTCTCGTCATATTAGCAAACAATTCTAAAACCACTGGACAAAAATATTCTCAACAGAGAAGGGACTGAAGAAAGAATCAGCTTAAACTCACATAAAAGTGTAAACTGTCAGTTTAAAAGACCTGGTCTACTAAGCCAACACGCTGAATTCTACTTATTTTATCAAATATCCTGTGATGATTGCCGTGACCAAATATATAGGTTGAAATATTAGAGCATAGTTAATCAATTAGACTCCGTGCCATCCCCCCGCCCACCCACCCACCCCCAATGTAAATGCTTAGTAGATGCCAAACTAGAATAAGAGATCTTTAGATAAGCTCAGACATAGCGCCACACACACAAATCGTACACAATCAGGAGAAAATAGAGTAACTTAGTAGGAGGATAGAAGAGGAGAATAAAAAATCGATAAAGTTCTATCTAACAGGGGTCAGTGCAATCAACTGTTGTTTCAGGTTGTTTTTTGCTGTGGAGAATTATAACACCACCACCACCCCTAATGAAATCAAATGTAGAAATCTGAAACTGGAATTTTAAATTTTTTGACGAATTACTCAAAGCGTTTATCCAGCAAGCTTGTACTCAAAATAAATCTTCCACGTTTCATACAGTGGAGATATACGCAATTATTATGTACGCAATTAATACTGTTCTCTAAGCTGGTTGGTTGGTTTAGTTGCGGAGATATCGTCTTCCCCTTGCTGGACAACATTCCCCTTCAGCGCAATATTTACCATAAAGTAAAATGATTTAGGTTTCTTCATGAGTGATAGAATTACGTCTCCCCGGTAACCATTTTTACATCTGTATTGAACATTTTCTATTGACTTGGAGTTTAAACTTTCTGGTCACCTGATTTACTTTTTATTAGTTGGTATATTTGGTCTATATTAACGTGTTTGTTAATTGCATATTCATTCGAGTACCAGGCTTCTAGGAATTCCCTGACTGCACTTTGTGTGTTTCCTCTGTCTAAGATTTCGACACTATCCCAATCAAATTGATGTCTTTAATTGTCTATATGCATTGATATGAAACAGGAATATATATATCGTGTCTTTTCACAGCTGATTTGTGTTCTTAGCTTCTGATTCGAAGGGGACGCCCACTTCGACCACCGATGCCTGTTACAGTTCACAGAATTTATTTTGTAAATAGTACTAATTTTATCTTTCTTTCTTATGTTGGATCTTTCGATTTGCATATGTGTATGTATGTATGTGGACTGATGAAGAGTACTGAATCGGGATGAAATAGATATCTGATTCATGAGGAGATTAAAATTTTTGTATTATTATTATTATTACTATTCCTTTTCATTTACACCTATTTCTAGTTATTTGAAACTAATGAAGGTGATTTCATTAGTGTTTGTAGATAATGAAGATCTCAAAAAATCAGTGTAAAAAACAAAACAAAGCTGAGTAGAAAAATTAAAAAGCGCATAAAGACACAAATATTTACCTTAATTATTGATTCAAGGATTTCAACTCGACACATTTCAGGCCATGCAGCAGTTGTCTGATATAAATCCACAGCAATGAGTAAAGATTTCTCAGCGAAGACAATGTAATTCAGTGGGACAACATCAAGCTTTTACAATAATTGAAAAGAAAGCAAATATGTTCAATAAGGAGAAATGAGTGTTGAGAATGCAACAATTAAGTTGAACAAAAATAATTACAAAATAAGTGATGATAGATACCTTTACAATACAATACATATACAAAAGGTACCTTTATATTATAATCAGTATACAAATCCTTCAATCAACTATACAGAATATTCCCTTCTACTAAACGTACAAAGTTAGAATCATGAAGTCAAACTTTACTGACTTCTTCCTATATTTACACTTCTTCTTAGATTTTTGGGGTATTTATTTTCTCCTAAGTGTAAACATCAACAGGGGGGCTTTGTAATCATTGTTATTTTCTGTTTTTCGCTTCACCATTTTATGTCAAGTGAACATTGAAATTCGATACTATATAACATACGAAAATTTCCATACTGTATCGACAGTATTGCTTGAAACAAAGCCAAAGTTATTATTATTATTATTATTCCCTTGGGTTCCGAATGGAACATACAGCTTCAACAACACATCTCCAATTCCTTCCATTTCCTGCCATCCTCTTCAGGTGGGTCACAATTGCCCAAACTCTCTCATCTCTTCCTCACACTACCTTCTCCATGTCACCACCCTCGCACTGACGATACACTCGTCACTTTCGCCTCGGATTCCACTCTGTCCTCACCTACATTCCTCTCTCCACTACCAGCCTTATCCTCCAGTTTGTTGGTTTTCGCCTGAATACCTACCCACCTACACACCTGCAAGTCTTTCATCCACGCGCGAAATCCAGATCTTCTTATCGGGGGACCAGCGTACACCTGTGCTCTCTAACTCTTCCTATAGTCTGACGCATAATCCAATCCACTGGCAATTAGGAATACCCTAGGTAATAATAGTAGGGCAGTTAGCCTTGTCTTACTCTTGTCATGATTTCAAAGGCTTTGTGTTGAGTTTCCCGTTGTGGATCATCTGACACGTGTCAAGCATTGTCATACAGCCAGTTGTTTAATGAAAGTGATAAAGATTTGGTGTACTTGACCTAAGTAGTCTATTTTCTCACCCCTTAACAACACTTTGCTATATATATAAGCTGAGTGGATTGTGTAAATAATAAATAATAATACTAATAAAGCTATTAACATTAAATAGCGAAATGTCAGTAAAAACGACAATAAAATCGTTTTGTTTTTCATTCATTCATTCATTCATTGGGAAATACAAAAACCTTTATGATAATGAAAACTATATAATACTCAATGACCAAATTTTTTCAAACTATTAAAAGTAGACAGATATATTAGTGATAAAAAAAAGGTTAATTACTTACTCGATGATTTTTTAGTTGATCTACTTTAGGGATTTGAACAGCATAACCAGTCAATGTAAGAAGCAGTTGAAGAACACGTGGAAGCAGCAATGACGATGAACTATTCTCATTATTATTATTATTATTATTATTATTATTATTATTATTATTTTGTTCAGAACTAAAATGCTGTAGAAAGCAATTCAATTAATCAACCAAAAATTAAAGTACAAAGGACATCATATATATATATACATGCACATGAAAATAATAATTAGCAGTACTAAACCTATAAGGAATATATACAAAAATCTTGACAATGTGAATAAATTATTTTTTGGATATAATGATTATTATTATTATTATTTATTATTGCTCCCTTGGGTTCCTAGTGGAACATAGAGCTTCAACTGCACGTCTCCACTTGCCACTTCTGTCTTTCGCTGTACTTTTCACTTGCATCCATGTTAGTCCATACTGTGTTTAAACTCCTCTTCAAATGATCTCCTACATGTCACCCTTGCACTGACGTCCCACTCGCCGCTTCCCTTTCGGCCTGGTTCCACTCGAGCAATGGCCTGACGCGCCCGCGATGTCACCCAGCCGCGGCCTCCTCAGCGAGTGTCCAATCCATCTCCATACACTTTCTCCTGCATATTTGTTGGCTGGTGGGCGATTGGTTCTTGTTTTGTTTGTTCCCAGCCATAGTTTCTTGTTGGTGATTGTTTCTGGCCAGCTGGCCATCTGATTGATCTTCGGTATAGAGCCAGCGAAGACAGTTGTTGGTTGATAAATGTCTCCAACAGGCTGTTGGAAATATTCTTTGTGACAGACCCATCAAGTTTCTGATCCGTATAGAAGAACTGACTGACTTGACGTTGTTTGTATTGAAAATCCGACTGAATTTTGTTGTTGATGCTGAGTTGAGTGACGAAGATTTCCAGATTGGTTTCAGTTGGTTGATGAATGTGTTTATCGCCTTCCCGATCCTCGCTCGATTTGACATCTTCGTCCGTTCCGACTTCCTGTAGTTGAGACAATGCTCCCTAGATAAGTATAAGTGAGTGAGGTTACGTCTTTCAAATCCCTCCGTTGATGGTGATTGGCGCCGGAAGTTGCTGTTGCTGTTGGTTGGTTATTTGGTTATTTTCATAACCTCCGTCTTGTCTATGTTCACCTGGAGTTCTGTCTTCTCCAGCTGCTTCTTTGACCAGTTTGTCGGTTTTCGCTTGCTTGTAAGTCTTCAATTTTGTGTGACATCAAGCATAAATCATCCACGCGCGAAATCCAGGTCTTCTATGTTCTTCACGTCTGTCGGTCCAGGATATTCCTGTCCTCTCGTTACCCACTGTCTGACGCATAATCCAGTTCACCACAGTTAGGAATATCATTGGGGATAATAAGCACCCTTGTCTTCATATAAACATTTAGTAAATGATTTTAAAAATCTCTCTTATATGCTGAAATCAAGTGTTAGCAAATCAGTAAATTCGCTTTTATGAGCCGTTAACATGAAGGATGCGCATTTCGTCCACTATGAGACTCTTCAATTCGGATACACTTTTCAAATCCCTGAGCTATATGAGAATCACACACCTTGGATAACTTTTAAACATTTGAGATAACCGGAGCTGGATTCGAGTCTAATGGGAATACCACGCCTTTTCACACTGATAATACAGCCTGGATTTCAATGCTCATCACACAACCAACTCAATTCATGCTTACCTAGTAGTCATCTACATGAATATTTCTAAGATTCCAGTATAGTTTTACTATTATTATTATTATATATCACTGTTCCCTATTTAATCTACGAAGTGATGACATTTTGGTTTAAGCGTAAGGCATAGACTTGAAAATCAAAATTAAGTCAAAGATGTGGTCTATTGCTCTAGATTTGGGTTCGAATCCCGCTTCGCCAAACGAGGTTTGGTCAACCAGGTAGTACCATTAACCTTTACAGACGACAGGTGTAGCTCACTGACTGACTGGTTTCAACGTAGAACGTAGCACTGATGTGCACCTGTTCCAGTTGCCACACTACTTCCTTGTAACACACAAAGCAAGAGAAAAGTGTAAACACAAATTCAAAACAGAGAGAGAGATAATAAATAAAAATCCCGAGGGCCCCAACCTGCCGCCCTACATGACTGGCTGACTTAAACTAACTATTATGGCTTTCATTGACTCATTAAGCTATGTACAGGATTGACGACAATGTGCTTACTTCTCTCCAACCTCATCCACCTTATGTCAGTCAGCTAACACTGCCCGTCTGTCGAGGAAAGCGATCAACGGCTAGTCATGCATGCGTGACACATGTCGAGATCCGGTTTAAACAACTGGTGTTCTGTGTGTAGAAGAAATATGTCCAGCCAGCCACTTCTACTAACCTGGCTGGACAATAGGTGACATGGCTCAAAATCGTTGTCAATGGCGCAGATGTATTCAATCTCTGTAATCTCTCATATTCCTTTCTACCATTACCCATTCTGTTTCACTCTTATATTTGTCAAACTCTATTAATTCTCTTCACTCATCTTCTTGTCTACCTCTGTGTGCTATTTGGAACGTGGCAACTCGAACTGCTGCACTTCGGTGCCAAGTTCTATGTTGAATCCAGACAGACAGACAGGCTGGTCTTATGTGGAGACTAGAAATTCATGAATTCTGCATTATTATTATTATTATTATTATTATTATTATTATTATTTTGATTACAGCTTAATTCCACACAGTATTTTTGGTACAGGTATGGAATTTTCAGCATGTGATATCGGTAGCCCAAATTTTGCAGGCCGACGATTGATATCAGGTGTACGACGGCAGGGGATAGAACCGCGAACCATGTGCATGGTCAGCGCGAGTCCTAACCACTGTGCCACCAACGCACAGTGTCCTAATTTCTCTGAAATTCGGTGTATTTTAAAACAATTAGTTCCTTTTACGAATTTAGACAAAACAATAAGAAGAAGTAATTTGTCTGAATCATGTAATGTGTTTGCGCAACACATCCCGGACAGTCTGATCACTCACGGAACCATTAATGGTGAGAACACGAGACCTAGCTCATCTATTGCGAAACATATTATAGAGACAGGACATAAAATTGATGTTTACACATCTTTTAAACCTGTCTATAAAACGTGTTTGGGGCGTATCCTAAAGTTTGTGGAAGCCCTAGTTAGCAATTAGAAAGTTTAAACCACCTTTATGCGTTCAAACCAAGAATTCGTCATCACATTAAACCACCTTCTTTGGTAAACTTTGTTTTGATACCATAGCAGATGTACGGTACTATTACTTCTGTTATTTGGTTTATTCATTGATCTCTTCATTGTTATTTTCACCGTCAATATGTCCTTTCAACTTGACCTAAGTAGTCAAGTCTATTTTCTCACCCACCTCTCTTAACTCACTCTTTATTAATTTCATATATATGTCTATTCCTATGACAAGTTTGTGTGTGATCAGAATGTTTGAAATGTTTTGCGAAAATACACATTACACGATTTAGACAAATTACGTCATCCTTCTTATTGCTTTGTCTAAATTCAGTGTATTGTGATTTTGACGCTATAGATGTTATTTAAACAACATTAATGTTGTTGTTGATAACACTAATTCATTCATTCATTCACTATAAAGTATGTATGTATGTATGTACGTATGTACAACTGTAGAACATGATGAAGAGCAGGTTATCGAAAATGGGAATATTCTTTCTTTAATAGCCATTGAGTTTTGAAGTAAAAAATAATTTTAATGGACGTTTTTCATCAGTTAGTCAGTCGCGGTCAATAAATCTATCAATCACACAATCCTTATATAACACTCTAAAGCAAGAAAAAAAATTAAGGAATTTTTTGGGCATAAATAAATATAAACAACAAAGTGGTTAATAAAGCAGGATTTATTGAATTCATCAAATTTCCGTAAAACTTGTCAGATGAATACCGCTTTATCAGACACCGATATATATATATATATATATATATATATATATATATATATATACATTTGAAATTACATTGGGAGATATAAGACTGTTTTTTGTTCAGCGAAGAAATTTCTTTTCAACGACTTCATTTTCAAGCTGTACAGTCGTATTTATATTACAGAAAAAGGTGGCTATTAAGTGGCACTAAATAATTGCTCAGTCAATGTACGTATATATGTGATAAAAGTTATAAGGGGTAGAGTTGAAGTGGATAAATTACAAAATATTGAAGATTGTTCTATAACAAAAATGTTAAGTGTTGTCTAAAAATTATGAAAATTAGGAGTACGATTACGCTAAGAATGAAGATGTGAAGTGAGGTGGAAAGAATTCAAGTGGTAAAATAAAATAAAATAAAAACCAGAAAGAACATTACTATGACCAAGGTAAAGAAAGCGGTTTGACAAAACGCTTTTGAACACATAATTTAGGTTTCTGTTCATGTATAGCTAAAGCTTCGGCTAGCTATGCATAAGTGAAGAAAACGTAAACTTTTGGATCGATTCGATTTTGTCATGTAGATAACTTTGAAAGATGAACCACGTGGAGCTAAATGACCAGACTCTAACAGGTGATCACAAATAGACGACTTTGCAGTTCTACATTCGCCTTTCATTAACCATACCTGATAGTGTTCAGCTACACGTTTTCGGAGATTACGCTTACAACCATCGAAACCATCGATAGTCTGTTTATGTATAAAAGATATGTTGACGATACCTTCATTGTATGTGATGAAAACACTTCAACTGCCGAACTTCTTAGAATATTTAATGGTTCTCACCCATCTTTGCTTTTCACGATCGAAGAAGAGTCGGATTCTTCGTTTCACTTTCTTGATGTTAAGCTAGATAGAAGAGAGAATGGAACGCTGTTAAGCTCGATTTACCGAAAGCCAACATTCACTGGGCAGTACACTAACTTCAACAGTTGGGTACATTTAGGGAGAAAGAGAAATCTCATTCATTCCTTATGCTCAAGAATTCGTAAAATCTGCTCTGCAGAGACAATCGATAGGGAACTAGATAACCTTCGATCAAATCTCCTTAACAATGGTTATCCCATAAGGTTCATTGAAGATAACATCAAGAAAGAATCCACCCCGAGACAAGTCACAGTACCAAAGAAAAAACTGTTTATGAGTCTTGCATTCAAAGGTGACACCATTTCAGAATTGATTAAAAATCGTTTATCTAAATGTATTAAACGCACTTTTCCTGCAGCTGACCTGCAACTAGTTTTTACCAGCCGAAATATGATAAGACAATGCGTAAAGGATAGATTACCGCTTTTGTCCACATCCACGTGCATTTACTCTTTTACTTGCTCTTGTGGAGCTGTTTATATTGGACGTTGTAAGCGTAATCTCCGAAAACGTGTAGCTGAACACTATCAGGTATGGTTAATGAAAGGCGAACGTAGAACTGCAAAGTCGTCTATTTGTGATCACCTGTTAGAGTCTGGTCATTTAGCCCCACGTGGTTCATCTTTCAAAGTTATCTACATGACAAAATCGAATCGATCCAAAAGTTTACGTTTTCTTCACTTATGCATAGCTAGCCGAAGCTTTAGCTATACATGAACAGAAACCTAAATTATGTGTTCAAAAGCGTTTTGTCAAATCGCTTTCTTTACCTTGGTCATAGTAATGTTCTTTCTGGTTTTTATTTTATTTTATTTTACCACTTGAATTCTTTCCACCTCACTTCACATCTTCATTCTTAGCGTAATCGTACTCCTAATTTTCATAATTTTTAGACAACACTTAACATTTTTGTTATAGAACAATCTTCAATATTTTTGTAATTTATCCACTTCAACTCTACCCCTTATAACTTTTATCACATATATACGTACATTGACTGAGCAATTATTTAGTGCCACTTAATAGCCACCTTTTTCTGTAATATAAATACGACTGTACAGCTTGAAAATGAAGTCGTTGAAAAGAAATTTCTTCGCTGAACAAAAGCAACTGTGTTTTTACTTATGAATAAATGGGTATTTTTCGTGATATAAGACTGATAAGTAAACAAACTACATTAAATTAGTCATGCAGAAAGACATGTGCGAATGTCTTCCAGGTCATGTTCAAATAGATAAGCGGAGAGAGAGTGTGAGAGATTAAAATTAAGATAAAATGCATTACGCTTCAATTACATCATTTAGATAAACAATTAGACATTAGAGAATATAACAAGAATGGCAAACACAGTGATATCAATAGTCATAGTTATAATAACAATAATAGAAATAATAATGTTGAAGTGGGTTAAGATAATCCTACTGATAAAGGATAGTTTTAAATGAATCAAGAATAATAATAATGATAATAATAGGTAGAATGATAAGTAAAACCTATTACCATGGTAGATTCAGAGTTACGACTATCTCCTTTTGCACACAGAGACCTGATTTATACATTCGAATTGCACAAGCCTCCTCGGAAATTACAAGCATCTTCTTGTTTCTTTGTCTCCTGACAACAGTGAATGACTTGACCGCGTCGATATCATATCCGAAATCCACAAGATGTTTTGTTGTTATTGAGGATTTTGGCACTTTCCACTCAGCTGTGTTTTCAACCATTTTGGCAAATGACCTGGAAAACATTCTCACCCCTGTCTTTCTGCATGATTAATTCAATATAGTTTGTTTACTTATCAGTCTTATATCTCCCAATGTAATTTTAAAAGTACTATTTATATCCGTGTATGTAGAGTAGTATTCAGCTGACGAAGAGTTTTACCGAAATTTGATGAACTCATTAAATTCTGCTTTATTAACCCCTTTATTGCTTGTTTTAAATTCGTATCGGGAAATCAATGTTTTCAATAAATAAATAAACTGTAAAAACAAAAACAAAAAAGGACGGAAAAGGCAAAAAGTTTAAATCAGCTTACTTGAACAAGACAATTTAAACAACGTAATACTGATTCTTGTAGTGAATTTAATATCCCATCATCAATTATATTTGTTGTTGTTGTTGATGATGATGATTGCATTGTCGTTGTTGTTGATACACTAGGATATAGACAGGCGATATACACCGGAATTAATACACCAATTTGAATTAATTCCTCTAAACGATCAAAATCTTTAACAGTGAAATTCTCTTTAATATGATCAAATATTGGCAGGAATAAATCAAAGTACAGGGTAATGAACGATGTACTGGGAAGAAATATATACGATGGATGATTAATCTGTGGAGAAGGGAGAAAAAGGGAAAGAAAAAGGGGGAAAGAAAATATCTGATGAGTCCAAAACAAGGACAAAACAGCTGGCTATCCAGTATAATTGATATAAGTATAAAAGTATATGTAAAACCCCCGATCTACTAGTGTGACCACCTATATAGTTGACCTGACTCACAGTCATTGGAGGGTATTTTGTAAATTATATTATTTTGTCTGATTGGGTCCACCGGATCTTTTAGCCTACAGAGCTTGTCCCTGTCTGCTTTATTAAGAATCCTACGTTAGACCTTACGTAGGATTCTTAATAAAGCAGGAATTAGGCTGGTGGCATTCAAACCTACAAACTCACTCAGACAGGGACAAGTTCTGTAGGCTAAAAGATCCGGTGGACCCAATCAGACAAAATTGATATAATTTACAAAATACCCTCCTATGACTGTGAGTCAAGTCACCAACACAATTCAAACTAGTAGATCGAGGTTAGTCGGATTGCCAGAAAATAATAATTTAGCTAAGATAAGAATGGTTGACTTCGAGAAGATAAGTTATTTAGAAAACCGAAGCTCAGTGATTATACTTCATGCATTAACAAACAACCACACAATAGGGTTGAATGGGAGAGGGTTAAGATTCTAAGAAGTAATCTATGTAGGTGGAAAGAGAGATTGATTACTGAATTCTGGTTCATTGAGTCTACACCCATCATATGCAACAGAAATGACTGGATGAAAATACCAGAGATACCGAAGATATTATTACCACCAGTCAGTCATATCACAGGAGGATAATAAATAATCTCAAAATCCTATTTCAATTCAAGCACATCACAAAATTCTAACAAGTTACTTATTATGACTATAAAAAAACACTCGTCTTATTTCCCATCTGACTGTAATTGATGAATAACACTCATATTATTATTATTTCTGAATGTTCATTATCACATATTGATTTTTATTCGAATGTCTAATCATCAACTCCACACATGTATATAAATGAAGGAAGAAAGGTGTGCGAGTGAGTGAGTAACTTGATATGATTATGACTGGCAATAGTTTGTGCTCGAAACGTGGTCATCAGTTAATATTACTGTATAACACTACACTGTGTGATATATCAAAATAAAATCTTGTCGATAATGGCTATCCAGTACTCCTTGTGACTGGTTTTCTAATGGTTATCTAACTGATGTCAGCCTTAATGATGAAATTCCCCCTCTGTTATGTACTCGACGCCAAATTATTGTTATGTACTGGTTGAGAATTTAATAGTCCTGACGCAAGAAAAGATGGAAATCAGAAGACCACTAGGTTTGCGATGATACTTCTATTTTCCAAACACAAGGAGAATCAATATCACACAAGAGTGTGAGAGCAAAATATATGAATGTCCGAACAAGTGTGTGAGCGAATACTCAAAATGAACAAATCAATAGACAGTCTTAACATGATTGGCTCATTATAATGGAATATCGATCCATATATACATAGCAAAATATATCAGACTGTCAAACAAACACACATATTATATGGATACATATCACCAAGAACAGACTCTCAACAAACACACATATATATACTATAAGGGGAATATACTTTGTTAAACGAGACAGGTTCATCAAAGTCAAATGGTCACAGACTAAGAGAGCAACAGAAAGAGAGACCACCATACACATATATATATATATATATATATATATATATATATATATGGATACATATCACCCTCCCCAACCAATTGATTAAAAAAGTTGACATACTGTGTGTGTGTGTGTGATATCCGATAAACAAATTGATTGTGTTAGTTTTGACGGAATTCTATCCAGCAAAATCTACAAGAGTGTGAGTCGGTGACACGGCGGTAGAATGCTCACCAACCACGCCTCATGTGTAGCCTTATACCGAAGCTATGGGAATGAATTCGGGAGAACAATCCCAACGTCTTTGCATACAATAAAAGAAGTTTGTTCCACCTTTGTCTCTCCCTTGCTTAGCCTAGGTGAATTCTATTCAAAACCCTCTCACCCTTTCTTATTTTCCATCTCCTTCGTACTTTTATGATATTTATTTAAACTCTGATTATCTGTCCACTTTACCCACCTTTAGTATTACGTAAGTTTTAAGATTTGACTTAATTTATTTATTGAATTGTCTACATATACACATAATATACATATACTACCCTTGTTATTCTTCTTATCACCATCTGCATAAACCTTATTATCAATATTTTGTTATCATTATGATTATTTGATCCACAAAATCACCGTCATTGGTTAAAAATTTTCATATATAAATCTACGTAAATTAGAGTGAAACCTGAAGAAGATCTAATTGAAAACGACACTATTATTCGCCCATATATCTTGTTCTAGTATTAATAGTGGGAATCTTCCGTAAGAAAATGGAATCACTGCTATTTATTCTATTTATTCTGTATATCAATGAGTTATCTCTGCTCACCGACTCCCCTATGGTCCTCTACGCAGATGACTTAAAAATTTGGAGAGAGTCCGATCAATGTGGCAAAATGTGCAACCATGCCCACTGGACAAGCAAGCACAAGCTCCTACGAACTAGAGGGAATAACACTTCCATCAGTTCAGATTCACTTGGACTTAGGTGTCATAGTTAGTCATGACTGAAAAACTACAGTACACTGTCGTGTGGTCTGTCTGTCTGGATTCAACATAGAACTTGGCACCGAAGTGCACCAGTTCCAGTTGCCACGTTCCAAATAGCACACAGAGGTAGACAAGAAGATGAGTGAAGTGAATCAATAGAGTTTGACAAGTATAAGAGTGAAACAGAATGGGTAATGGTAGAAAGGAATATGAAAGATTACAGAGACTGAATACATCTCCGCTGGCCATTGACAACGATTTTGAGCCATGTCACCTATTGTCTCCAGCCATTGATTCCTAGAGTCAGTCCCGAGGGCCCCAACTCGGGAGTCTGCATCTCCCTACCTACCTTACTCAGTTTAACTGTCAAGGATTTCATGGATTGATGAGGCCATGTTTTTGTTTGGCCACCACTGGCTCTTTTCCAACCTGCACCTATATCAGCTAGCAATGCCCGTCGTCGGGGGAGGCGGTGGTTAGGCACGCGCACCACGTCACCTAGCCATCTCTCTCAGTCTATGTAACTTTATAGCCTCGTCGATTGATTTTCCCTCTTTGTCCAACACTCTACGCCTAACGTCAACATTACTTACCTTATTAAACCACCTAACGTGAGACAGAGATCGCAGACATCTATGACCAAAAACAGTCAACCTTTTCATGTCTTCAACTCGTATTGGCCATGTTACAGAGCCATAGAGAAGGACGGAGCGAACTGATGAGCAGTACACACGTCCCTTGGTTGATAACCGGATGTCACGCCTACGCCAGAGATGGTGTAAGTCAGCGAAAGCAGCTCGAGCTTTTTGGATCCGTGCTGAGATTTCATCGCCAATCAGTCGTGTGGTGGCTGCACGTAGTCTCGGGTCATTATGGGCAATTCGCAGAGCCTTTACTAGAATTACCAGAGATATGTTCACCTCTTTATATACATCTCTGGTGAGGTCAAGATTGAAAAACTGCATCGAGGCAGTCAGCCAGTCCTTGTCTAAAAGGGGACTCACACATTCTAGAAAGGGTTCAAAGGAAGGCAACACGTATGGTTCACGGCATAGCTAACTTATCATACGAGGAAAGACTAGACAGTTTAAATCTCTTCTCCCTGTAATACCGTAGACAGAGAGGAGATTTAATCACAATGTTTAGAATTTTAAATAATGACTACGAACCTGACTTATTCTCTCTTTTCCTTCCCACCAGGTCGGAACACCTTAGAGGACATAGCAGGAAAGTTCAAAAGCCAAGGAGAAATCATATTGCTGTTGAGTACTGGTTCTCACACCGAGTCATAAACTCTTCGAACCGACTCCCAGAAGAAGTGGTGTCTGCAACGTCAACCGATTCGTTCAAGAACGGTTTGGACAACCACAGAAATTTACTAGAAAAGGATTAACATAGGCTCCAAGCCTCCTATCCTCAACCAATAAATCTGAATCTGAAATCTATTGAGACTTCAAAGTTGAAAGTTCCACTTCATGTTCCACTCATAATAACTCAAAAGGAATGCAAAAAAGAGAGAGAGAGAGCAACTCACTTTCTGATTATTTTCGTCGACAACAACAACATTGTTATTACTGTTGCCATTAAAACGTTCTGAAGCGTCTTTATTATTATGTAATAAAAGAGAGTTACTGTGATCAGTGTTCATGTCAGCATTACAATTAGATTGAACAAAAGCAATCGATCGTTTGCCTATTTGTAACCAAGTTTCCCAATATGCAGACCATATTAAATTAGGCGATAAATTTGATGTTGGCGGGGATGACATTGATGAGGATGATGGCGACGAGGACGAGGAAATTTGTAATTCCAGTAGAACTTGCATACAATTTAATGAAGCTAATGATATTTCTCCACTATCCATATATGCATTCACCTTTAAGTGATCCAATAGTAATTGCCAAAATTTTGTAAAATCATCTATACAAAAAAATGAAATAAAATCGTAGAATTAGAAGAGACAAAAACAACTAGCAAGCAAACAATATACTTATAAATTATTTAAATTAATCCCAGCGTGTTTAAGAAAATTAAAACAAGATATGTTTTCTGAACGTTTCGCTGTGTAAGCGACAGCTTCTTCAGCAGAAGATTTATTCCGATTTTTTTTATTAATCATCAAAATGTACAGTCGAAAAGATTTTTTTACATAAACTGAAGTCAGCTTATTTGAAGGTCATTTGTCGATGGACATTTTTACCAAGAGAAATATGTAAGCAGTCATGACATATATGTTTGTAATGACTAATGTCAAATTGTCTTCTATACGGATCAGAAACTTGATGTGTCTGTCACAAAGAATATTTCCAACAGCCTGTTGCAGACCTGTATCAACCAACAACTGTCTTCGCTGGCTCTATACCGAAGATCAATCAGATGGCCGGCTGGCCAGAAACAATCACCAACAAGAAACTATGGCTGGGAACAAACAAAACAAGAACCAATCGCCCACCAACCAACTGCGTCGGTGGCACAGTGGTTTGGACTCTCGCCGACCATGCACATGGTCCGGGGTTCGAGCCCACGCCGGCGCACACCTGATATCTATGGTCGGCCTGCAAAATTTAGGCTACCGATATCCATGCTGAAAATTCCATACTTGTACCAAAAATACAGTGTGGAATCAAGCTGTAAAATACAAAAAAAAAAAATATGCAGGAGAAAGTGTATGGAGATGGATTGGACACTCGCTGAGGAGACCGCCACTGGGTGACATCGCGCACGCGTCAGGCCATCGCTCGAGTGGAACCAGGCCGAAAGGGAAGCGGCGAGTGAGACGTCAGTGCAAGGGTGACATGTAGGAGATCATGTGAAGAGGAGTTGAAACACAGTATGGACTAACATGGATTCAGGTGAAAAGTACAGCAGAAGTAAGACAGAAGTGGCAAGTGGAAACGTGCAGTAAAAAGTAAAAAGTTTGGGCATTGTGGATTAGATCAAATAAAGTATAATTATATTTCAATAGTTTACACACAATGTGTTGGTTTGTAGGGATTTGACTGATTGGTTACAGGATTTCATCATGAGCTGACATTGGTTACAGAACCATTGGAAAAGAAAAGATCATCGTTACAGTTGTACAAAACTCAATGTACATAAAAATGAAGCAAACCTTCGAAACTTTCTATGAATTTGTTTATTAACCATCTTTCCTGATGAAATTGGACGTAAAAACTGGTTGATTGGTGATTGGCGAGAAGCAGTGGAATCCAGGATACCACGCGTTTCGTCCTCTGCTTGGAACTCGTCAGCTAGTGGATGCACCTACATTCCCCAATTAGTGGATGATGCTGTTCCCACCGAGGCTCCAGCCCAAAGTGGTCCCATAGTTTCAAACGCAAAAGCATTATCCACTAGACATTTTCGAAGCATCTACACAAGAAGCCAACAGACATGTCAACCTGAGACCGAGCACTTCGGTCCAATCAATCAATCAATCGACGGGAAAATCTAAAATTCGATTAAGTAAAAGCTGATTCTCTAAAGCTTTTCTTGTCCTCTTGTTCGTCTACATGGGTATCAGTAGCTTTGTTGACGTGATATTTGACTTTTTGTTCACGTGACTTTTACTCAATTACCTGATAAGTTTGATTTATGCGTTGATATTGCACGGAGGATTTCATCATGAGCTGACACCAGTTAGAGAACCACTAGAAAACCAGCCACAGGGAGTACTGGACAGCTGTGTTCATCCTAGTTTGGGACTCTTCATCAGTACGCACACACCATAGGGGTTCGAACCCAGGACCTTCTCGTTACAAGGTGAGCTCGTAAACCATTGAGCCGCTGGGACCCGATCGAATAGGCATTTATTTACGTGGATATGTCTGCTAATTTCAGATTCACCTGAGTATTTCATACATTTACTCCCCATTGTGAATTTGAATAAAGCAAGAACAACAGCAGTGGTGGTTTATGCAGAATACCATCCTTTTATTTATTTCGTTGGCTTCCTATCAGCTGTTTGCTTACAGCCTAAAGAAATTATTATTATTAAGTTCATGAATAAAAAAGTTTTAACATACTTGCCAATTTTACATTATGTCAGTTGACACGCGGTTCCGGAACAGTGTTAGTGAACAGTGCTCAGAAAATTACGCTTATAGAGTTTTTATGCAGAGAAATTTCAACTGACTGATTGATTGGAGGATTTCATCATCATAAAACTGACATCGGTTGCAGAACTATTAGAAGACCAGCTGGAATACTGGACAGTCAGTCAGCTGTTTCGTCGGACTAGTTTACGACTGACGCTTCATTAGTACACACCCACACCATAGGGGTTCGAACCCAGGATATTTTGGTTACAAGGTGAGCTAGCTAGCTAGCTAGCCAGTAGACCATTTAATCTACTGAGACCCGATCGATTCAATGGCCAGTCAGTCAGTCCATGAATTCTAACTTCTACCAATTCATGACATCATGGTGCAACCACTTCACAATATCTTCTTCGATGAATTACTAATACTAATAATAGTAAGAACCAAGTAATACCACAACTATCCGATATCCCATAATTAGAAATGATGAATACAATAAGTTCAATGAAGACACTTGTTGTAAAAAGTGGAATTGATGAATGAAACTTCTCTATACTCATTGATAACCATCATTACCACCCACACCCACCCCACATACATGAGTTTCTCTGCATTATACTACGATCAATGATGGTGAAAATAAACACTGATGGATGATGAAACATAGCCAGAGCAAATAAATAAACAGTAAAACAAATGAGTAAATAAAATAAATAAAATCAATAAGTAAATAAATCAATAAATAAAATAAACGAATAAGCAAAATAAAAATAAATCAATATAAAACAAGTAAGTAAACAAATCAATAAACAGATAAATAAAAAAAATCAATAAGTTAATAAATAGACAGACGAATCAATAAATCAATAAAATGTAATGAATAAGAATGAAGACAGATTTATTTCCTGCATTCTAATGATAGAGATAATTGTGAAATAATTGAGAAGATCTGTAAGATCAGGTGGATGATATTGCAGTAAGTTGTGTTCTCTGAGCTGAGCTGGTTAATGATTTCATCGTGAAGCTTTCATCGTCTCCCTTCTAGACAACATCTTGCTTTGAGTGCAGGTTTTAGTATAAAATGAAACTTACGTGATATTTTCGATTGCAAACTAGTCAGTAACTAGTGCAATGTGTGTGTCTAGTCCAATCTTCGGTGCAGACTGAATTCTATCAGTCAAGCTTGCAATGTGGCCACCATGCCACTAGGTGACTCGGCATTACGGTGCATTGTGAAATGTTGGTATTAGATGATTGGAGGCAATCGGCTATAGGAAGCCTTGCCAGGATCTAGGTTTCGTGCTAGTTGGCACTCATCAGCAAGGCCTATCTGCAGTTACCTTGAAGAAACTCATGTTCCTTCTGAGATTCGAACGAGGGTCAATCAGTGCCGCCAGTAGTCAGAGACGTTAACACTGAGCTATTCAGGCGATTGACGTTCTGTAGGACTGTATTGGATATTTTCGATTGTGCCGATTGCCTCCAACCATATGAAACTTACTTGAATTCTACACGAATAATGACATGATTGTATCTCGTGACAACCATTATCGTCAATGGTTGTTAACTTGTGTCATGACATTGGCCACTCACTACTGTCTGTCTGTCTATCTGTTTTCGACATAGAACTTTTCCCCAAAGTGCGGTAGTTCAAGTCGCCGCATTCCCTCTTTGTTGTAGCACACAAAGCAAGAGAAGAAAGTACAAGAGAAGCATAATAGAGACAGCAAGCAGAGATGTCAGACAAAGGAATAGTAATAACGAAGAACAAAACAGTTTCATTGGAAATCATAAGTCTCAAGGAGTGGATGCATCTGCGCCACTAAGAACGACTTTTAGCCATATCACCAATTGTTTCCAATGGTTGAAATCGCCGACCAGGCCACACATGGTTCGGTGTTCGATTCCCGACCACTGACTCACTCCTCGTTTACTTTGCCTAGCCAGTAGTAAGACTGGTATGAAAGAGAGAAGGTTGAGCACGAAGCCAACAGCAACCCTATCCCGTAAAAATAAACACCAGTGATACTGAAACTTCAGAGCTCTAGCTTGAAGCCGCCCTATATTCCACTGGGGAACGTAAAGGACTTTAAAAAAAAAAACAAAAAAACTAGTTATCAGGAGATACAATTACATCGTCATTCATGGAGTAGAATTTTAAGTTCATTTTATACTAAAAAGCTGCACTGGAGGAAAAAAAGAGAGAAAGAAAAAAGACACATATAACGTAGAACAAAAAAAAAGAAAAAAAGAATTAAAATCGACTTACTAATTTTTAGCAGTTGTGATTGTTTTGATATGAAACAATGCGAGACACCGGATAAAGTGAGAACAACTGTCTCCGCCCATTGTTTTGATGCTGTATCACGACTATGATGAATTAATAAACTATTCGGTTTATCGCCAACTTTTTCAACTGGTGCATTTGCATATAAATTGTGAACATTGGATAATAAAGGAAATAATATCTGTATAATAGACATGCGTAGACAAAAAAAGGAAGAAAGTAAGTAAGGAAATAAACTGATGAGACAGAATAATACGGTAAAAAAGAACAACAGATTATTATTGTTATTATTATTAGTAGTAGTGTTATGAAAGAAGACAAGGGCTAGGCAACAGATCGTTTATTGAGAAAGCCAAGAGGGTATTTATAGATTTTTATGTATATTGTTATTATCTTTGGGGATTGGGTCTTAGTGGGCCTTCTTTCCAGAAGGCCCTGGGTTCGAACCCCGGTGGGTGAATATTGCCGAAAAGTGCCAAACTAGACGCAACAGATGTCCAGTACTCCCTCCCTATGGCTGGTTTTCCAATGGTTCCTCTAACCAATGTCGGCTCATGATGAAATCCTGTAACCAAACTGAAGATATTTAATTGGTGGATGGTGGTGACTAGCAGTGGAATCATCCAGGATAATGTACATTTCGTCCTATTTGGGACTCGTCAGCTAGTGGATGTACACCTGCTATGGGTACTGGATTCGAGCCTCGGTGGGAACATCATCACTTACTCACTTACTGAGAAATGCAGGTGACGAGTACAGACGACGAGTCCCAAATAGGACGAAATGTCCTTTATCCAGGATTCCACTGCTAGTCACCATCCACCAGTTGAATTCCGACTACATGCCTAGACATCGTTGAAGAATTTGCAGATGAAACCGACAGACATATCAACCTGAGATCGAGCACTTCGGTCTAATCGATCGACGGGAAAATCTTAAATTCAATCAAACTGTAGGATAGACTAATCTTCAATCTGCTGGAACGGATTTGTACAAAAACCCTCTGTGGGAAATTATGTTTTTCATTAAATGTCAACTTGTAATAAAACAGATAACAAAAGTGTTATTATTACTATTATTATAAACTTCACTAGAAAATTTACAGGAGTTTTGAGAATACTTAAATCGAAGGGAGTAAATCTGCAACCCGCTGAAAAGTTTATATGAAGAACAGTAGTGTCTAAGTGTAAAAATCTACCTTTTACACTCAGCTGCTAACATTTTTTTATTTGCGTATGAAACACACATTGACTATTCATGTATTAAGATTTTTTCTAAAAAGTGTTTCCTTGAAAATTAGAAACTATCAACCATATAGGATGCATTACAGAAGAAAAGTTCTCTAGTGTAAGTGATTTTTTTTAAATAAAAGAAAACAAGGGTCAGGCAACAGATCGTTTATTGAGAAAGTCAAGAGGGCATTTATAAACATTATTGTTAACTGAGAGCCAACCTCTTCTAAATGGTTGTTTTCTTGTTGATGGTTATTCTGTAATCACTTTGCGTCCGTTTCATAGGTCACACCATACATATACCTCCGAATCCTACTTGGTAATCCTACGAGGTAAGTCTGCTGTGATTGGTTGGTGGGTTCTTCACGGTCAACATTTGTTATTGTTTGCTTTTCTCATGATCCCGATTCGGGATGTAAAAGAAACATTGACGTAAATTATTGTCTACAATTTTGACTTGCAGACAGCACTCACCACAGTAATAGTAGTAGAAGTTGCTGTGTAACGTTACACTGATTTGAGATGATTAGGACATGTGTTACGCATGCATGACTAACCATCGATCGCCTTCCTCGACAACAAGCAATGTTAACTAACTGACTCAGGATGAATGAGGTTAGAGAAGAACTAGGATATTGTGGTCAAACGAACACATGGCTTCATCATTCAATGAAGCAAATCCACAACAGTTTAGTTTAAGCCATCTAGTCACATAGGGAGGGAGTTGTAAACTTCCTGACTGACTGACTGGTTGGAGTCCTCGGGATTGTCAGAACCGATGATGGCTGGAGACAATTGGTGATATGGCTCAAAATCATCGTTGTTGTCAATGGCCACATATACATATATGACAAAAATCTTTCTCACTAAAAAGAAACCACTGAGCGTAGAATGCACGGATTAATTATAAGCCTGCCATCATTGTTATTGCCACAATTTCTATTCAGTTAGCCTTCAATGTATCACGTTTTGATAATAAATTCAAGGACCATTGGATCGGGTCCCATTGGCTCAATGGTCTACGAGCTCGCCTTGTAACCAGATGGTCTTGGGTTCGAACCCCGGTGAATGCGTACTAATGAAACGTCAGTCCCAAACTAGGTCGGAAGAGCTGTCCAGTACTCCCAGGTGTTCCAGTGGTTCTCTAACTGATGTCAACTCATGGTGAAATTCTCCATGTAATCAAACAAAATCCCTACGAAAACTAATACTTAAAAATCTTTCTCTCCCATTAAAAAAAACCCATGGGGCTTAGAATGCATGGAACAATTGTAAGTCTGTCATCATTGTGATTGTCACAATTTCTATTCAATTAGCATTCAATGTAACACACGTTTTGATAATAAATCTGAAGCATAGATAGAATTAAATTAGATATCAACTCTGTAATATGGTGTGTAAGCACTTGATGCAGTTTTTGACAATTAACAAACAATGTGTTATAAATTTTAACAAGCATTGGTAAATATCAATTTCATTTTGTGGCAAGTCAATGATTGTGACTGTAATGAACAGTATGTCAAATTCAGTTGCAATCAGTAACGTCGCCTAGTCCCCCATTTCGCTAGTTTTCTAGGCGATCCCAAGCCCTGAAAAAAAGGGGAGTTGGGTGGGAGTGGGGCTAGCTACCCTACTACCGGACAACCAATCAGACTGCTACAGAAACTTTAACGTACAAGAAAAATATTTAAAAAACGTAAAAATATAAGAACCAAATTTATTTCTCGCTCGAATCGGAGAGGACAAAGGACACATCGGGCTGGTGAAAGCCAGACTTTGCGAAGCCATTAAACCAGCTGATGTGTCTTCACTCGATGAAAGCAGGAATATATTGATGACAACGAGAAGACTGTGTAGGTTGTCGTAAAAATGAGAAGAGAAGGCATAGAATTGATGAGAGCAGGTGAACTCTTCAAATTATTAATTGGAGAGTCAGTAATCTACTCCAGTCACCACTTCCACACGACAACCACGAGCACACTGAAGCAGTGAGTGACTATCAGACAAGATATGTCACCAACAGTAAGCAGTGTGCAGTGACAACCAATCTCCTCCTACAGGATAAGAACAGCGAGATTCAACTCATAGAGGAGGAAAGGCACAACCATCCAATGATACGCACAATGCTACAAACGACTCAGAAGAAGGAAGATTTCTATAGACAATTGTAAACGGTAATGGACAACATCTGAAATGGCGACATCAAAATCCGTGTGGACGATATGAATTCCAGCTGGACTGGAAGCAGATAAGATAGGAAGAGAGCTCATCATGGCTGGAGAAGCTGTCTCTCGGTGAAGTGATCGACAATGGAGAACTCTTCGCAGATTTCGGCTCTTCGATGATTTCGTGATCGGAGGCAGCGTGTACAAGCACAAGGATATAAACAAAACAGCGTGGATTTCGCCTGACGGACACACCATAATTCATACAGATTTCATCTCAATACCACTTAAGGAAATGAAGATGCAGTCTGTTAGATACAACGTCAATAAAGGCAGCATGTGTGGGCTCATAGCGTCATCTAGTTTAAGGAACCTTCAAGGTGAAGCTGGATGAATCCCTCAAAACAACTGGAGACGGACCACAATTCAAGTTCAACATTCAGAAACTCAACAGAGGTAGAAAACTACAAGGGATGCCGTCACTACAGATCAGATTAGAGCAAAGTCGGAGACATTAAGTGGCATCACTGAGGAAACATGCGTAGGAGACCATTGGAACTCTACGAATGTGATGTTCACGGAAAGGTGTACAACAGTTTTAGGTAGAAAGAAGAAAGAGAACAGAAGCAATGGATCTCAACGGACACCTACCTGGAAGCTAATAGAAGAGACAGGAGAGGAGGGTGGTGAAAGATAAAAGATGACTCAATACAAAGATGGAGGAGAGAGAATGGGAAGCTGAGCTCAATGTATATTGAACTGAATAAAGAAGTGAGGAAGAGTGATAGGAAAGATAAAAGACGATTCCATAAAACACTGACTGGCAATTGGAGTAGAACAGGCTGTAGGTGAAAGAGATCTCACGGCATTATTCAAATAACCAGGTCCCTATTCGAGAAGAGACCAACTCAGATAATGGAACCAATAGAAGATATTCAAGGGAACCTGATTACCAAGGAGGAGAAACAAACCAAACAATGGGCTGATCACTTCAAAGGACTCTTGAATCGACCATCACCTGCAAATCAAGCGGAAATGCCACCACCAGCACCACGCACAAAACTGTCACTGAAAGTTATTTCACCAAAAAGAAAGCGGCAATCTTGAATACAATAGATCTGTGGAAGTCTGGGAAGACAACAGGACCAGAGGGAATTCCCCTTTGAAGAACTGAAAACGGATCAGTTGACTGTGGCAGATATGCTGACGCCACTGTAACCAAACGTTTAGAGGGAAAGAAAAGTGTCTACTGGGGTAGAACGAAAGGCTATCTTGTGAAAGTAGGGCCGAAAAGGCATCTGGAGCAGAATTACATTCTCACAAGACTTTACGTACGATTTATGTCTAATGTGGCGAAAATTCGGAGACTCACAGAAGAAAACCGAAAAGTTGGCACAACACATATTTAATACGACCATGAAGCGTAGAGTCTTTCATTACTTTTTCTTCCCGTTATTGCTATCACTATCATTATATTCCAATAATTACAGGTCTTATTTTTATTACGTGTGAGTGTATATATATATATAGCACAATTTGAATTTCTTCAGACTGTAAAAAAGGTTATTATTATTATTATTATAAAAGAAAAACTGACTTATATATTAACACTGCGCAATTGCATATTTTAAACCCATTATTATTATCATCATTTTCTTAACACTACCCTCAAATGCCCGATGGTAATCACGACGGGGCGCGGGTCCACCTATATTTCACGCAATCCTTACACACACACACACATACAAAGGGAGAAGAAAGCCTAATAATTAAATTCTAGAATTTAAACCACTTGAATAGAAATAATAATTACCGGTTTTCTATAAATATATATTTTTTTTTATTAAAGCTTGATTCCACACTGTATTTTTGGTACAAGTATGGAATTTTCAGCATGTGATATCGATAGAAAAAATTTCGCAGGCTGACTATAGGTATCGGATGTGCGTCGGCAGGGGATCGAACCCTGGACCATTGGCATGGTCGGCGAGAGTCCTAACCCCTGTATCACCGACGTACATGTATGTGTAAATGAAATGACTGAATAATAGTTAATGTTAGCTGGTTGGAGGCAGTCGGCCACAGGAAGCTTTGTCGTGGACTTAAGTTTCGTGCTAGTTGACACTGACGAGTCAGTCAGTCAATCAGCAAGGCGTTTATCTGCAACCAGCTTGAAAGAACTTATGTCCTCCTTCTGTGAGATTCGAACCCGCGTCAACCAGTACCGCCTGTAGTCAGAGCTGCAACGATTGAAATTTAACTATCCGACAGTTTGGCATAAAGCTTTTATAGTGTAACTTCACGTAAGTTCAATCGTTAAAATCAACAACTATTTCATCAATGCAGAATGCGTGACCACAGCAGGGTGAATGCCTAACCTCAATATTGCTCACCTTATTGAGGTTAGGCATAGGTCGAGTGCTAGGTAAAAAGGAGAAATCAATCGACGAGGCTGTGAAATTACATCGACTGAGATGGTTAGGACATGTGTTACGCATGCCTAGTCATCGTCTTCCTCGACCGACGGGCAATGTTAGCTGACACAGGGTCAGGCTGGAAAACAGCTAGCGGCTGTCAAACCAAAACATGGCCTCATCAGTCAATGAAATCGACAACAGTTAGTTTAAACCACGTAAGAAGGTGTAGACATCCTGACTGGTTGGGGTCTTCAAAGACCAAACCAAAGACTGGAAACAATTGGTGGTATGACTCAAAATCGTGCTTAATGACTAGCGCACATGCATCCAGTCCTTGAGACTTATGATTTCCAATGAAACTGTATTGTTCTCCGTTATTACTCTTCCTTTGCCTCACATCTCTGCTTACTGTCTGTATTATGCTTCTCTTGTACTTTCTTCTCTTGCTTTGTGTGCTACAACAAAGAGGGAGTGTGGCGACTTGAACTGTTGCACATCGGTGCAAATTTGTTCTATGTCGAAAACAGACAGACAAACAATTATATGATAAATTTAATCGTGATTTCATGTATAAATACTGTTTGGACAATAGGTTGATAGCATGTTGGGATTAAGATTAATATTAGGGTTAGAAGTTGGGTTAGGTTAGAGTAACTGTTGGGGTTAGGGTTATAATAGGGACTAGGAGTAGAGTTAGTCAAGGGTTACTTTTGAATTTTTTTTTATTTTATACATATTTTTCTTTTAAATGAATAAATGTGGTGGGGGGGGGGGTGGGAAGAGGAAGGGCGTTTCGTTGTTCATATAGATGGAACCGTTTTGATAGCTTTGAACTGACCGACTGACTAACTGATTAACTAGTTTCAAAATAGAACTTTGCACCGATGTACACCAAATCCAGTTGTCACACTCCCTCCCTATAGCACACAAAGCAAGAGACATGAGCAAAGAGAGATTCAAAACAGAGAGAGAGAGATAATAAGCAAATGTATGAGTGAGGCTAGACGAATACTGATATGGAAGGACAGTAGAATTTCATTAGATATGGTCGATCGCAAAGAGTGGTGAATGCATCTGAGACAGCCATTGACAACGATTTGAAGCAATATATCCAATCTTCTCCAGCCACCATTGCTTCTTTACAACCCAAGAACTGCAAACAGACAGCAGTATACACCTCCAACCACCCTATGTGACTGGATGACCTAAACTAACTGTTGTGCATTTCATTGACTCATGAAACCATGTTTTCGTTTGACCACCACTAGGTAACGCCTTTCCAGCCAGATCCATTCTATGTCAGTCAGCTAACACTGCTCTTCGGTGGAGGAAGCCGATTGATGACTAGGCTAGTCAAGCATGAGTAACACATGCCCTAGCAATCTCTCTCAATCCATATAGTAGCTTCATAACTACCTCGTCGATTGATTCAACACCCCCCCCCCGTCCACCTACCTACCTAGCGCTCAACCATCGATGCCCAGCCTCAACATTTGTCACTGTATTATACAACTAGCACCACCACGTAACACACATTGCGAGATACAACGCAGACACTTATGATCAAAACCAGCTAGGCTGTTGATGTCTACCTGCACTTTCAATGGCAACATCCAGCGTCAATCAACATTAACGGGAGAGATTTGAAAGAGGTAACCTCATTCACTTATACTTATATAGGGAGCATTGTCTCAACCACAGGAAGTCGGGACGGACGAAGATGTCAAATCGAGCGACGGTTGCCTGCTTCATCGACTTCCAAGCGGCATTCGACTCAGTTGATCGAGGAGCACTCTGGTATCTAATGGAGCTCGACGGAGTTCCGACCAAGCTAATCAACCTGCTCAGGTCATACTACTCCAACACCAAAGCTCGAGTCCGAGTGAACGGTGAAGAGTCCCGCACTTTTGAGGTAACCAGCGGTGTCCGGCAAGGTTGTCCAGCATCCCCCATCCTGTTCAATTTCACAGTTGATTGGATTTTGCGGCACGCCCTAACCGAGCACCACGGCGTCCAACTTTCGCCCGATATTCACATAACCGACCTCGAATTCGCCGACGACGTCGTGCTGTTAGCTGAAAACTTCCCCGATATGCAACAGGCGCTCGACCAGATAAACCACCTCGCGTCTACTATCGGTTTGAAAATTAACACTTCCAAAACCAAAATGTTTTCGAACACATCCACCGGCAATGATGAAATCTTATCCTTAAATGGAGCACCTATTGAAATTGTGCCATCCTTCAGATATCTGGGATCCATAATGCTCCCCAACGGCCAAGCGAAAAACGAAGTGAATGCGCGAATCTCCAACGCCCGGAATGCGTTTCTACAGCTGAGGAGCGTTCTATGGAGCAAGAGAGAAATCAGTCTCAGGACTAAAATTCGGATCTACCAAGCTTCCATACGACCCGTTCTGCTGTATGGCTGTGAAACCTGGCCTCTTCGCGCGGAAGATTTACGCAGACTCGAGGTATTAGACCATTGGTGTCTCAGGTACATTCTGCATGTTCGTTGGCAGGACAAACTCTCCAACGAAGAAGTGCGTCGGCGTTGCTACAACATCAACCAAATTCCAGTACTGGTCCAACAACGCCGCCTTCGGTGGTTTGGCCATGTTCTGCGCCGACCAGATGACGATCTGGTCAAATCAGTTCTAAATCCCTCGCCATTACCATCTTGGCGATGTCGCAGAGGCGGACAGCTGAAGACATGGCTTGGTACAGTCAAGGCAGATATGGAGTGCCTGGGGCTACAAACGGTCTACGGACTCCGTATGTGGAACAAGAATTGGATATCCCTATCGCAAAACCTTGCTTCAGATCGCCGCGCCTGGGCAGCGATGATTCGAGATGTTCATGAAGCCGGCTCATCCTCCCGTAGGAGATAGCCGAAGTAAAGTAAAGTAAAGTAAGTAATCGAGCGAGGATCGGGAAGGCGAGAAACACATTCATCAACCTGAAACCAATCTGGAAATCTTCGTCACTCAACTCAGCGTCAACAACAAAATCCAGTCGGATTTTCAATACAAACAACGTCAAGTCAGTCAGTTCTTCTATACGGATCAGAAAATTGACGGGCGGGTCATCAACAACTGTCTTCGCTGGATCTATACTGAAGATCAATCAGATGGCCGGCTGGACAGAAACAATCACCAACAAGAAACTATGGCTGGGAACAAACAAAACAAGAACCAATCGCCCACCAACAGCAAATATGCAGGAGGAAGTGGAGATGGATGGATTGGACATACGCTGAGGAGGCCGCCACTAGGTGACATCGCGCGCGCGTCAGGCCATTGCTCGAGTGGAACCAGGCCGAAAGGGAAGCGGCGAGTGGGACGTCAGTGCAAGGGTGACATGAAGGAGGTCGTGTGAAGAGGAGTTGAAACAGTATGGACTTACATTGATGCAGGTGAAAAGTACAGCAGAAGGAAGACAGAAGTGGCAAGTGGAGACGTACAGTTGAAGCCCTATGTTCCACTAGGAACCCAAGGGATCAATAATAATAATAATCAGACATTTAAAAAACAGACTAACTAACCTTCCATAAAAGAGACGACCATGTATCTTCATCGAATCGATCACTATGACATTCTATTGTGTTGAATAACGTCTGACAAGCAGATTTTCGAACAGCTGGTCGACGGTCTAAGCATAAATCTGCCAGTTTGTGGAAAACACAAATCCATAAATCTTTTAAATCGATAACAGCGTTATCTGAATCAGTTAGACTAAGCGGAATATTCTTCTCTTCCATGAAGAAGTCAGCTAAATGAAGCTAACCAAAATAAATAAATAAATGAAAATGTAAAACAAGGCGAAATGAAACACTTTAATCAGGAAGATTATATCTCAAATACAAACGATACCCGTTCATTATATTTCTCGAATTTCAACGGACTGAAATGTCCTAACCGAATTCTTCTAAACTATGATAAGGATTTGACCGCATAGTTAGAAAATAATTGGGCACTGAATGAGAAGTAGACATTTGTAAAGTCTCAGAGATATTGAAATGAATAATTACCAACTTCTCCTATGTTCGGCAAAATGGTATGAACTTCTTCAGTTAAATTAATCGAGATTAAAATAACAACAGCGGTGTTTATATAAAACATAGGACATCTAATGTTTTTAAAAAAAATTGGTCCAATTATATGAGTTATGAATTAGTCATCAAAGTAAAATAAACAGAAGGAGTTCTAGTGCGAAGTCGTGACCAGTGAAGTCACCTAACCTCACCCAGTGGGGAGAGAGGATGGATGTCCGACAGATGACATTGGTTGGTGCCAGTTTCGCGCTGAATGCATCACGAATTGGTAGAAGTTAGAATTCATGAGCCGTCCATTGAATCGATCCAGTTCCCACTGGCTTAATGGTATAGGAGCCAGCTTGCCTTATAACTGGAAGGTCGTGGGTTCAAACCCCGTGTGGTAAGTGGGCACTGACAATGATTCTCAAACTAAGATGACGAAACAGCTGTCCAGTACTTTCTGATGGGTTTTCAATGGTTCTCTAACTGACATCAATCCGTGATCAAGTCATAAAAATTCTATGAGCTCTGACTAAAATTAGACCTCAGACTTACAAACATTAGTCTACTTTTGTTGAACACTTTATACAGAGTGTACTTTTCATCAGAATTTTAGTGATTACGTTCGACTAAAAGTTTATGGTCGTAGATAACTGAATATGAGAAATATATGTGTGTATATACAGTACAATGGTGTGTATGTGTGTGTATGGGCAAGCAGTTGTGAACCGTTTATTAGCCTCTCCATAAGAAGACATAGACAAATGGGAATTTAGACCAAGTATGATTAATTAGTTATACATATCCATTTTTTATTAATTGATCAGGAATTGCCATGATGCATCAGATAACATCACGCCTTCACGTCTGTTCAAAGTGTTGGGATTCACCGTATATGTAGGACTTCTGCAGTCAGTCTTTCTGAATACGAACCAAAACCTTTCTGTAGAACCTTAGTCCTATCAGAGTCGATTTTGAGTCTGCTTTCTATCGAGTGCAGTGCAATCGCTGAGTTGTTTTCTAGCTTTTTTAAGTCTTTGAAGCCACCTTTAAACATTGTTTGTGCTCTTCCACTCTTATATTTACCTGTCTGGAAGTTTCTCTTGAAAAATACGGCGTCAAAATCACCCACAATTGATCTGGTACACACAATTCTGTTGGTTGTCTTCTTCTAGTTTATCCTTAACCTCCACCAGTGATGAGCGTAAGGTGTTAGTTACACGAAAATACACTCTTATGTTATGATCGTTATGGATTCACTTTATTTCACCGGATGCTTTTTTGCGGTAAGGAATCACCGCTGTACTAACCAGATTCTTAGCAGCAGGGTTCGATGCATCCTTATTTTCACATTTTAAATATCGTTTTATTTATTTATTTATTTTATTCAAGAGTGGACTGAATCAATTTAAGTTCCCTGCTGTTCTCTTCCTCCGCAGTAACTACACGTTTGGTTCTGTTGATCAGATTCTTGGCCACAGTTACTTTGTTGGTAAATGAGTGAGCTGAATAGTAATCTAGCTATCTATCCAAGTTTGTCGGCTTTCTGAAAATGTTTATTTTAAATTTGCCACCTAATTTTCTTTTTACTAAACAGTTCAGGAACGCCAAATCATTTTCGTCGGATTCAACCTCTTTGGAAAACTTGATGTTTTCTGACATATTGTTTATTAAGTGAAAAAGCTTATTTAGCAAACTACGTCTGGTTATGACGAAGGTATCATCCACGTAACTTTACCACACTTTTGGAGGACTAGAGCATCTCATACTTGTATTTGTTTCTAATGAGTGCATAAATAGATTGGCTACTAGCCGAGACACTGGTGATTCTATAGCAATGCCTTATGTTTGACGGTAAAGAACCCCTCTAGATATAAATAACGTGAAGCGTAGACACAGTTCCACTTTGCCTTCATAATTTCGTCTGGATTTAAAGGACAATGACCAGTGAGTTCGTCGTCAGAATAAAGCAAATTATAAATCATACTTGAAGAATCATTTGTGGGAACATTCGCCATATCACAAAGACTTTATAACGAAGTGTAAATAAAGAGGATATGAATAAATAAAACCAAGTAACGATCTGTCTAGCTGTTGAAAGTCAGGTTTACAATGCTTCCATGTGCGCTGGTTTGCTCTACGCCTGTGAAACCTGCCTTTCCCCGAGCTGAGGATGTCTATCGACTCTGCGTTTTCTATCATCTCTGTCTCCGTAGAATTACTTGCAATCGATGATATCATCGTGTGAGTAACTCTGAGGTCCAGCAGTATGTGTTTAGGCACAGTAGAGATCACCATTTGTTTACAGTCGTCATCTAGAAACACCGGCTCTAGTGGCTTGGATATGTGTTTAATTTAATATAGATTTTCCAATCGATTGATTGGACTGAAATGATCGATCTCTCAGATTGACATATCGGCGACTTGTGCAGATGCTCCGACAATGTCTAAAAATATAACTTGAAGTTAATTGGCAGATGGACGGTGACTAGCAGTGGAATCCAGGATCAGGCGAATTTCGTCTTATTTGGGGCTCGTCAACTGGATGTACCTGCATTCCTCCGGTCAGTGAGTAATGATGTTATCGCCACCGAGGCTCGAACCCAGTGCCCATAGTTTGAAACTTCAAAGTAATATTCACTAGACCACTTGGGCGACGACAGCCAATACCTCTTGTGCAACACGGGTTTTATTAATTATTGAGTTCAATTTAGATTTTCGCGTCGATTGATTGGACCGAAGTGCTGGGTCTCAGGTTAACATGTCAGTTACCCCAGTGGTCTAAGGGATAGATAGCGCTTTGAAATTTGAGACCACGGACACTGGGCTCGAGCCTCGGTGGGGATACCAATCACTCACTGACTCATCTGGGTATGCAGGTACATCCACTAGATGAAGAAGAGTCCCAAGTAGAGGACGAAATCCGCGTTATGTTGGATTCCACTAATAGTCAGCCATCAACCAATTGACTATAGTATTCGTAGTTTAAGCTACATGTTAGTATTAATATGAGGATTTGACTTTCTGAAACGCTATAGTGTTGTAGTTTAGAGAAACAATGTTTCGTTTTGTCGTGATGAGTCTTTCTTGACAGTAGAGACTATTCATCATTCCAAAATACATATCAAGCTTCTTATTGACACTATTTATTACACAAATGAATTGTTTCGGCGGGGGAGGGGGTATTTTCGTCAGTCATTCCTCTTAGACATGATTTTCCTAAAATTTCTTTTAGTGGAATAAATGTGTGAAGTTGTTTTTTTGTGTCACGATGGAAGTTATAAACTTAAAGCTACAATCCAGATTGAAATATATTTTCCAGAAGTGGTATAATTTAACGCTGTTATTGACGCGCATGCAATTGACTAACATTTTAGGATAACTGAAAATATGTCAATGTGTAGTTAGATATCCTGACCTATAGCTGCTACCTTGACGTGGTGGACAGACGCGAATATCGTAATGACCCAGTAAGCTACACTGGCTGGAACTATTGTTCCTCCAGGTCCTACCATGCCAGGAAAGTTGTTAGGATAGCGATTAGACAAAAGCAGTTACCGGCATTGTGAACAAAGTTGAACTGCTGGGGAACAGAGATATGACAGCAGTGAGGTGTTTCCCTCAAGTGATCAGCATGACCCTAGAGAGAGAGAGAGGGTTAGAAATGGTTGACTTCAAAAATTGTACATCCTCACTTACCCTACCTACGGTGGTCCGGCGGTAAGTTACTAATACGTTATCAAACCAAAAAGCCAGTTCAGGTAGGCTGTGTGTCACCGACCGGCCTCAAGCAGTTGTCTCCTTGGGCTCTGAAGTCACGCAACACTAATTCTTCTTCCATTTCAGGTAACCCCCCCCCCCAAAATCTAAAATTTTAACTTCCACGGTGTGAGCAACCGGGGAACTAACAACCACCCACAGCAATTCCAAAAGCACAACGACGCCTATTACTGAAATGCTAAACATTTGTTTGTTTTTGTAAAGGTAAACATCTGATGAGGATACAATAAAAAAAAAGAAAAGAAAATGTCTACTTACAAGGGAACCAACCGCCGCTAAAGCGATATTCAAATCTTGTTTCTGATGACCAAATCGTGCTGCTGTTTCTACACACGCCAAATAACAATTAGGCAATAAAGCTGACAAATAATCCGTAACAATCAATTTGAAGCATTTGAATGATGTTTGAATTAAATCAATTCTAATTTTGGCAAAAAAAATTAGGAATTATAACAATAAAATGGAGGGAAAAAATTGCTATTTTTCAAAAAAACAAAAAACAAAATTAGTTTATGCTTTAACAGAAAACTATTTCGTGATAAGAAGTACTTCAAAACTTCTACTACCCATATAAACCATGGGATACGGATATTTTTCAATATTCAACAACTGACAAGAACAGATGATGGTTAGCTGACAGCATTTTACTTCACCAAGTTGCAAACCTCAATGTATGAAAGCGTGTTGTGCATGCTGGAAAACCAGCAAAAAAGAGTACTACTGGGCAGGCAGCCGACTGTTTCGTCAGCCTAGTCTGGGACTGACAATTCATTAGTATGCAACCACCGACAAGGTTCCAACCAACGACCTTCTGGTTACAAGGTTAGCGAGCTCGTAGACCATTGCTCCTCCAGTCACTGGAACCCGATCGAGTCAATGACCAGCCAACGGATTCTAACTTCTGCCAATTCACGATATAGCGAGACCACTAGTCAAATGCCTTCGATGAGTAGCTGTACTTCACCTTCGATCTGCTGTACTCTACCGGTCACGGAAGGTCCTGGGGTTCGAACCTTGGCGATGGATGCGTACTAATGAATCGTCAGTCCCAAGCAGGCCGGCAATACAACTGTCCACCACTACCCAGCTGGTTTTCACCTTCCAGCTCTCTAACCGATATGAGCTCTAATGATGAAATCCTCCAACCAGTCAATCAAACAAAGCCCCTACAAAAACCAATACCTTGTAATTTGACCCACATTTGTTTCACTATTCATAAATTCAGCTTGATGTTGAAAAATTTTTGAAATACACCGATTCAACTACATCTGCATCTCTCTCTCTCTCTCATATCAGTCTGTTAGCCTTGAAGTATCAGACAACACAGAAAGCGACAAATAATCAGAACAAACACAGCTCTGAAGATGCCATATTGTTCTTCGTTATTACTACTCTTTTTGTCTCATATCCCTGTCTACTGTCTCTACTATGCATTTCTTTTTACTTTCTGCTCTTGGTTTGTGTGTTACAAGGATTGGAGTGTGGCGACTTGAACTGGTGCACATCGGTGCAAAGTTCTATATCGAAAAACATACACACAGACAGACAGGAAACACTATTTGGGATTTAAAACATTGATTTTGAGTCAGAACTTCTTATACGATTCAGAGACTTGCAACGTCACTAGATGTACTTCCAACAGCCTACATCAGACTTGGATTAACAACTGCCTTCAATCAATAACTATGCATCGGTGGCACGGCGGTTAGGACTCTAGCCGACCATGCGCACATGGTCCAGGATTCGATTCCCTGCTGACGCACACCTGATATCAATTGGTCGGGGCCTGCAAAATATGGGCGCTACCGATATCATATACTGAAAATTCCATACTTCCACAAAACATACAGTGTGGAATCAAGCTACAGTCGGCCAGAAAAGATATAACCACACAGGGAACCATCCAAGAAGCTATTGGGTCGAATACACACTAAAGAGACTGTTCAGTGATAGAACATGTCACAGGAAGGCCGTCGAGTGGATTCTGAATAGGAAACGACTATTTGAACGTCGAAAGGTAACTTGGAGGCGAGATGAAAGCCAGCTAAGAAGGACTATAGAGGACGCGGTGGATAAAAAGATGGACTGTTGAGACTTAAATGTTTCATTCAGTATAATTAATAAATATATATACCTGTCTGTCTGTTTTCGACATAGAACTTTGCACAAATGTGCGGAAGTTCAAGTCGCCACACTCGGTGTAGCACGCGAAGCAAGAGAAGAAAGTACAAGAAAAGCATAATAGAAACAGTGAGCAGAGGTGTCAGACAAAGGAAGAGTAATAACGAAGAACAAAACAGTTTCATTGGTGGAGGTCATAAGTCACAGGGAGTGGATGCATCTGCGCCACTGAGAACGGTTTTGAGCCATGTCACCAATTGTTTCCAACCATAGATTTTTACCGTCCCGAGGACCCCAGCCTGAAAGTCTACACCTTTCTACGTGGCTTAGACCAACTGTTGTGGATTTCATTGACTGGTGCCAAGTTTTTGTTTGACCGCCGCTAGCTTTTTTTCAGCCTGGCCCTATATCCGCTAACATTGCTCGTCGAGGGAGGCGATGGCTTGGCATACGTAACACATGTCCTAACCATCTCAGTCTTTGTAGCTTCACGACTTTGTCGATTGATTTCCCCTGTTTACCTAGAACTCTACCACTGAAAATGATGAAATATACATTGACTATAACCACCGACCGACGGATAAAACAGAATGCGTAAATCAGTATAATGCCTTACAAACGAAAACTCGTTTTACTAGCCTTTATCGACTACTTCCACCTGAACATTTTGTTTGTTTAATCATGCTCTTTCTCATTATTCGTTTTATCACAGATTGCGTCAATTTTTTCATTCTTATTATTGATAAGACAAATATTATTATTATTACTATTATTATTATTATTATCATTACTACTATTATGACTAATTGCACAAATTATATTCATCATCGTATTATCCTATAGACAAAACACCCTGATTGGTTTACATTTGGATTTTTATTTGTAAACTTGTGCACATTAGAGTTAAACCTGATGAGATATAACTGAAAGCACAATATCACTGTTCGCATAAATGTGTTGTTCTAAATTTCACTATGGGAATATCTAACATATGCAAAAAATTCTTTTAACAATCAATCAGCAAGAACTTACTTAAAAAGAAAGAAGAACAGTCTTCACAGAATAAAATGCCACCGTCATTGCTTATTTCGTCGGCTTCTCATCAGCTGCTTACAGGCCAAAGTCATTATTAAATATACCTCCAGAAACAATTTTAACATACTAGCACACAGAGTTCATTTTAAACAAAAATCAATCGATAAATCTATGCATACAGTAATAATATATACATATATGTAATATTAAACACAATTCAGAACATTAATAATCATACACAATGGAGACTTTCGGCATTATGTAATCAGATGTAGGATAGGTGAAGATATTCAGTTACCAGGGCATCTCCTTGATACTAGGGTCATGAGGTGGAAGCCAAAACAAATGGTTCAAAATTATCAATAGGCAAAAAACAGTTCAATCCTCCTTAAGTTTGTTGAAGCCATCTCCATCAAGCGCCTGAAACCTGATGTATGCGTTCAAAAAGAAACAGTTATCAGTCCTTTCTTGTTCATCCTGGTGACTGGATATTTCCATCCTTTCTTTTATCTGATTACGTAATGTCAAAAGTTTACATTGTTTATGTTCAGTTTTGTTCGGAATGGTGGTTAATATTTTATATATATATATATATATATAATTACTGTATGCATATATTGATCGATTGATTTTTGTTTAGAAATGAACTCTGTGCAAGTATGTTCAAAATTGATTTTGTAGATGTATATTTAATAATGACTTTGGCCTGTAAGCAGCTGATGAGAAGCCAACGAAATAAGCAATGTTGTTGTTCTTACTTTATTCAAATTTATTAAAGAGGGGGAATAAATGTATGAAAAACTTACTTATAACTTTCACGTATCACTCCAATAATTTCAATTAATCGTAACCAACTGGATCGTACTTGTTCCCCCCAACAATGTAGTAATTGTTGAACACATTCCAGCTGGACTTCACGTACATCATCATATATAATATCATTGGATAAAGCAGTCAATGGATCAAGTACTTTAATAGTTAATGTCTAAAAGTAATTATATAAACGAAATAAATAAAATAGAAACACAGAAGTTGGTGAAAATAATTTTCAAGAATTTACTATTCGACAAACAGACTGTTTTAAATAAAAGTGTTGTGCATGTTGACTGTTAGTCTTTGCAGTAGGCTGCTCGTCAACCATTCGCCTGGTACGAGGGTTCCACTCCCAACTGATAACACTCCTAACCCGCATCTGACCGATAGTAATGATTTTATGTATTTATTTAAACGCAGAAAAAACTTGGTACAAAATTGCACCAAGAAAGATGCGCCACACAATAATAATAATAATAAAACAACATAGATTAAAAGTAAAAATATAGGTGGAGAACGGATAAAGAACTTCATCTGGAAGGAAAACAGTCATACTTAACAAGTTCAAACAGCATTCATTAACTATCATCGAAAAAGGAAGAAAGAAGAAAATTGCAACACGTTCGCTACTGATTACGATCCTTGGCCATATCCGATAACGTTTCGAGCCATCGATTCGAGCTATCTCTCGGAGTCCAACCAAGGAGTTGTGACGCATCAAGGACAAATATCCCTCATCCCACGACAACATGTCATGGACTGACCACCTCTCCGCCTTTTCCATCCCGTCCCAAGGCTAGCGAACACAGACCTGTACGGAAGACTCTGGGATGACATTTGCAGCACATGTCGAAGCCACCGAAGCCAGTGTTTCCAGATTACGACACTAAACAAATGGTGATCACCACTGTGTCCAAACACATACAGCCGGACTTCGGAGTTACTCACACGATGATACCATCGAATGCAAGCAATGCTACAGAAACAGAGATGATAGAAAACACAGAGTCGATAGACATGCTCAGCTCGGGGAAAGCTAGGTTTCACAGGTGTAGAGCAAGACAACCCGCACCGAAGCATTGTAAACCTGACCTTTGGCAGCCAGGCTAACGTCGCGAAGGCGCCGGAGGTGGGTGAAGCTGATGTATGCTATCCTAACCTTCATTATACGGTTGGAAATATCATCCGTCACCCCTCCTCCACCACTCACACAACTACCCAGATACATAAACTCATCGACAACTTCAAGTGGTCCACCCGTAAGAGTGAGTGCAGATACAGGCACCTGTCAATCTTGTAATAGTACTTTGCACTTAGACGACGCAAAGTACATACCATACTTACAGACACTGACACTGATAGCCAACCGATTAAGTGCGATTTGGGCAGCCTGCATGGTTATCTCACATTAAGACAATATCGTCTGCATACTCGACGTCGAAAAGTCTATCTCTAGATCTAACAGATCCACTCCAGAATGTCATTAATGGCAAAGTTAAAGAGAAATGGAGAGATTGGGCAACCCTGTCTAACCGACCCCATTGTTGGTTGTAAACAGTTGTGATAATTGGTTGTATGACCTCACTCTACCTGAGATGTTTCTGTATAGGGCTTTCAGGATGTTGACAAACTTCTAAGGTGCACCCCTCTCTAACATAAAGTTCCAAAGCACAGTTATGTCCAACAAATCGAAAGCAGCCCTAATAGCAACAATCGTAATAAGCCCATAAAAGAAGAAAAGTTGGGGTGAGGGGGGGCGGTGGGATGGTGAGCGTGACGTGAAGCTGGCGAGCCCATCTGGTCAAAGGGTAACACCAGCACTACCAACAACAACAAAAACACACACTGAAACTTCAAGACTCAAGCTTGTAGCTGTACGCTCCATTCGGTTGTTACGCAAAAGGACCAGTCAGTATCAGTCCATGGGCAAAATTAAAAACATACGGAGAAGGAGATGACGAAAAAATGTTATATCTTTAAGATAATCTTTTCAATGCATACAGGATTAGATAAAGCTTTCTAAGTAATTCTTCATGTCTCCATAGTAACAAGAGTATACATCTATTTAGAGGGAGAGAGAGAGAGATTGTAGATGAGGACTACTGAAAAGTGGAGTGTACGATTTGTGTATGGCTTACTCGTTATTAGCCATAACCATCATCATCTGATTCTAATCTCTATCAAATGCTGATTAAATGTACTCGATAGAAAGAGAGAGAGAGAGCGAGAGCGTGAGTGAGTGAATGAGTGAGTGAGTGAGTGAGTGAGTGAGTGAGTGAGTGAGTGAGTGAATGAATGAGTGAGTGAGTGAGTGAGTGAGTGAGTGAGTGAGTGAGTGAGTGAGTGAGTGAGTGAGTGAGTGAGTGAGTGAGTGAGTGAGTGAGTGAGTGAGTGAGTGAGTGAGTGAGTGAGTGAGTGAGTGAGTGAGTGAGTGAGTGAGTGAGTATAAAGCAGAGTAATACGACAAAACAAAAAATTAATTTTTTTGGCTGAAAATCAAATATTACAGCTACCTACATTCAAGAGAAAATTAATCATTAATATCATATTATTATTATTATTATTATTATTATTATTAATATTAAGTTTTGTTAGCTTTCATCGATAACAACAACAACAACAGCAACAACAACAACAGACGTTTCCAAGGCAGTAGTACACAAATGTACAAGATAACTACTACTACTATTATGAATTGATGAGAGATGATTATTACAAAGTTACTGTGATTAAATTTGAAATTTGAAAACAAAGAAAAATCCATGCTAACATTCATGTCGTATCCTACCTATATACAGGACATCAATACACGGAAGTACACTTCTTACATATATACTACGAAGATCGTTGGAAGAGGCAATGAATCGTTTCCAGTGTAGCAGCTCTCCAATAGGGTAATCTTAAATGAGGTAAAGCCGCAGCAGAACCCAATGGAATGACTCTCGATGGAATTCAAGTATGGTGGAGACAGTCTATTGTTTGCGTTAACTGAGGGAGGTACTAGGAAGCATCTGAGAATCAAAGGAGATCCTGTCGGGTTGATGTAAGTCACTGATTATCCTTATATACAAGAATGGAGACAAGTCTTCTTGTGATAAATCACAAGGGGATTAGCTTGACTAATATGGTATATAAAGTTCTAGGCTCAATAATCATGCATAGACTAAGCGGTCTACGAGAGGAACAAACACAAAAGAACCAGGTAGGCTTTAGGCCACGAAAAATGGGTATCGATCATAACTTCACCCTTCGACAGATTCTAGAATATAGGCATACTTACCGGCGGTGTCCAACAATCGTCATATTTCTTGACCTAAAGGCGGAATTCCATTCTGCCTACCAAGAGGCACTATGGCGATGATTGGCTGTGAAGGGAATGCGGAGAAGATACATTCTACTGACCAAGGCACTCACTCTACTCGAAGTTATGCAGCAAGCCAGCTGAGAGCCTACGGAGAGTTGTCATCTGAAATGGTGAAAACCAGTGCAGTGGTGTTCATCAGGGATGCCAACTCACTATCACAATTTCTATTCAATTTCATCAGGGATTTGACCTGCTACCAGGGAATAATCACGTTGACTTAGAATATTCATATGATATAGTCTTTCCCCTTAGGCGAAAACGCTGACGAAATTCAGAGTCTTTTGAACACCTTGAGCAGTGAGCAATCTTCGAATGCTTGGCATGCAATTCGCTCCCGCCAAATGTAAGATGATGTTACAGGACTGGACTACACTGACTTCATAGACGAGGTTGTGAAGTCACATTGACTGAGATGATTACGACATGTGTTACGTATGCCTAGACATTCATTGCCTTGCTCGACCGATGGGTAATGTTAGCTGACATAGGGTCAGGTTGGAAAAAAAAGAGCACATTGTGGTCAGACGAAAACATGGCTTCTCATCAGTCAATGAAATCCACAATTCATGCATTGGTCAGCCATTGGATCGAATGCCAGTGGGCTTATTGGTCTACGACCTCACACTCGCCAGGAAATCAGAAGGTTCTGGGTTCAAACTGGTTGTGGTGGGTGCGTAATAGAGTGAGGCGTCAGTCCCAAACTAGGCTGTACACTAATCTCTGTGTAGCTGGTTTTCTAATAGTTCTCTAACTGATTTCAACTCATGATGTTATCCTCCAACCAATCAAACATAATAAATTTTTTTTAATTTAGACAAAAAACGAGGAGTTACCACAACTGGTTAATTGTTTCAACAAAAGAAAACACATACACACACACACATGATTGATTCCATTGAAACTTTTGCTTCAAGCAATTTCATGGAAAATCAAGTGTAAAATAAAAAAAATAGGCTGTATGCCTCGTTTCAACAACAACAAAAAAACAATGTTAATTCTAATAACACATACAAATAAACAACACAGCGGAACACTTACTTCATTCTGCCAAAATGGTGGATTCTGTGGAGCAGCGATAGCTTGTTTAATCAAACTAGTGAGACAATTTGATGCTAATTGACGTAGACCAGTGTGAGATGAGTTACATATCTAGAGATACGCAAGTAAAGGAAATAAATATATATATATGTACATAGATAAAGCAATAAGAAGACGTAATTTATCTGAGTCGTTTAATATATATTTGCGCGTAGAACGCATTTCGAACAATCTGATCACACACGGACTTGTCATACGAATACATATGAAATTAATAAAGAGGTAAGAGGTGAGAAAATAGACCCCTTAGGTCAAGTTAAAAGCAAATATTAAAGGTGAAAATAACAATGAAGACCACTAAACCAAATAGCAGAGGTAATAGTACATCTGCTATGGTATCAAAACAAAGTTTCCCAACAAGAGAGGTTAGTTGGTGTGATGACGAAATGTTCCTTTGAACGCATAGAGGTAGCTTAAACTTTCTAATTACCGGGTAGGGCTTCCACAAACTGTAGGATACGCCCCAAACACGTTTTATAGATAGGTTTAAAAGATCTGTCAACGTCAATTATACATCCTGTCTCTATAATATGTTTCGCAATAGAGGAGTTAGGTCTCCCGTTCTCACCATTAATGGCTTCTGAAGATTCCATTTGTTTCTGGAGCCATTTAGGAATATAGTGTGAAGCCAGCCCTTACTTGCTGGCAGAGATCGATAAGTCCTCCCTATATATGTGTGCCCACACATATATTCAAATTCATAAAGGGAACTAATTGTTATATATATATATATATATATATATATATATATATATATATATAATACTTGAACTCTGATTCAGTGTAATGTCTTCATGCCCATGATTTTAGCTCACTGATTCGACGGTAAGCCTGGCAAAAAGGGTTTGGGGCTAGCAACACCATCGTTGGTGAAACTTGAAACGTCCAACTTGACGTCATATATATTCCACTTGAAACACACAAAAACTACTGAGGAGAAATGTGTTAACACAATGACGTGAATAGAAAATGTAATTTTTGTAGAATACATACGTAGAACTAAGTTATGAAACGATCTCAAATATGCACAAAGAAGTGAAGAAACACATTCAGGAAACCTAGGTCCAAAGTTTTCTGCCGATTGCCTCCAACCATCTAATATCATCAAATCAATGTGCACCGTGATGGCGAGCTACCTACCTAGTGGTATGCTGGCCACATCGGAAACCTGACTGAAAGAATTCAGTCTGCACCAAAGAAAGAAAGAAAGAACTAGACATATCAAACTAGTTACTAGTGTTCAATCAAAATATTCAGGGTAACCTATTCACAGCTTGCCTAGTGTAGGGAGTGTTATAATATGACAGTATGGAAGTGTATAACACCATTATTGTGGATAAGATTTTATTTAGATAAATCCCACTGACTTTTACGTTAATATTAACTTATGACCACATGCTTCGAGCACAAATTAGTATTGCTCATAATCTCATTATCAAGGCACTATTCACTCACACAACATTTTGCTTCATTTATAATATACATTTTTATACATGTTCCAATTGAAATCGTTCAAACTCTAGGGCAGCTGATTAATTCACATATGAAATGAAAAAGAAACTACACGACATTCAATAAGATTATAAGTTTCCAGACCGTAGGTGGAACGAACTTCTTGGAACAATTTGAGCGCCGAGTCAGATTGATTCATTTACAAATTATTTAAATTAATCCTAGCGTGTTGAGAAAAATCTTGTTTCGATTTTCTTAGCACAAGCCAGGATTAATTTAAATTTTTTTTTTTTGATTTTTTTTATTACAGCTTGATTCCACACCGTATTTTCGGTACAGGTATGGAATTTTCAGCATGTGATATCGGTAGCCCAAATTTTGCAGGCCGACCATAGATATCATGTGTGCGTCGGCAGGGGATCGAACCTCGGACCATGTGCATGGTCGGCAAGAGTCTAACCACTGTGCCACCGACGCACATGACATTTAATTAGAGAATAATGAGGGAAACAATGGTTAGTTTTGATATAACTAGTCTTTACACTAATATACCAATCAGTATGGTAGGTAGCCTTATAAGCAGTTAAAAAAAGGATTAACTGCACAGCCTGAACTTGCTCACTCATTGGACAAAGCTGCCGATTGAAGAAATTATTTTAAGGATTCAATTATGCCTCAAATCTACTATCTTTAAATTCCAAGGTAAATATATATAGACAAACAGAAGGTGTAACAATGGGATGGATCACTGATATCCCCCCTATCGTAGCAGATATCTTTATGGATAGCTGAGAAAATATAGCTCTTCATACATTTACTTAACCCTACTCCAAAAATATGGTGGAGATATATGGATGACACTTTCATTCACAGAGTTAAAAACAGAACATATATCTCTAGCTTCTTCGCACATATAAATTCACTAACTAGTAAAGGGAATAAAATTCACATTTGAATCGGAAAATAAACAAAGAGAATTAGCTAGGATGTTAGATTGTAAAATAAAACGAATAGAAGAAGGTAAACTACACACCAGTGGTGTTTATAAAAAGCCAACGCATTCTAATAGATATTCAGACTTTAATTCATCTCATCCGTTAACTGTCTGTGAAGGCAGGGTTAGTTAAGTGTCTAACGTACCAAGCAGTAGCACTAAGTAGCACAAAAAAGACATGAATGATGAAATAAAAACAGATAGAACAGACGCTGACATCAAATAACTATGCTATAAAATTCATTAGGAACATCAGAAAACGTCAAGACAGAAATAAAAATTAAGGGTAAACTTATAATGATAACATAAATAAGAGAGAATATTAGTCATTTACAGTTCTACCATATAAGGATGGAGGGGATACATCTCAGGCCATATGTAGGATTCTCAATAAAGCAGGAATTCAGGTGGCATTCAAACCTACAAACTCGCTCAGACAGGGACAAGCTCTGTAGGCTAAAAGACCTGGTGGATCCAATTAAACAAAATAATATAATTTACAAAATACCTTACGATGACTCTGAGTGAGGTCAACTACATAGGTGAAACTGGTAGACCAGGAGTAGTCAGATTGTCAGAACATAAGAATTCGGTTAAGGTTAGAATAAACGACCCTACCCACGAAGATAATTTAGAAAAAAGCTCAGTAATTGCATTGCATACATGAATTAACACACACAACCACACCATAAGGTGAGAGAGGGTGGAAATTTTAAAAAGTAATATAGCTAGGTGGAGATAGAGAGAGAGGGAGAGAGAGACTGATTACTGAATCCTGCCTGGTTCATCGAGTCTACTACAATCAACACATGCAACAGAAATGACTCAACGTAAATACCAGAGATGTGGAAGATAATGTTACCACCACCAGTCAAATCAGATCAGAGGAGGATAATAAATAATCTTAAAATGTATTCAACTCTATTCACATTATTACATTCTAACAAGTTATTTATTTATTTTATTATGAAAACATCTTATTTCCCATCTAGTTGTATTTGATTGATAACACTAATATTTTGTCTGTCTGTCTGTCTGTCTATTTTCAACATAAAATTTTGAAGTGATATGCGGCACTTCAAATCGCCACACTCCCTCCTTGTAGCACACAAAGCAAAAGGAGAAAGTAGAAGAAATGTATAATAGAGACAGTAAACAGAGGTGTGAGACAAAGGATTAGTAATAACGAAGAACGATATAGTTTCATTCGAAATCATAAGTCACAAGTAGTGGATACATCTACGCCACTGATAATGATTTTGAGCCATATCACCGACTGTCTCCAGCCGATGATTAGTGTTTACCGTCCCGAGGACTCCAACCAGGACGTCTATACCTCCCTATGTGGCTGGCTTAAACTAACTGGTGTGGATTTCATTGACTGATGAAGCCATATTTTGGTTTGACCGATCTTTTCCAGCCCGACCCTAAGTCAGCTAACATTGCCCATTGTCGAGGAAGGCGATGACTAGACATACCTAATACATGTCTTAACCATCTCAACAGTATATCTTGACAATCACCTCGTCGATTGATTTTCCCTCCCACTTACTACTCGACCCCACATGCCTAACGCTCAATATTGCTCACGTTATTATACCATGTAACATACACGGGAGATAGAACGCAGGTACCTATAATCAAAGACAGCTAATCTTTTCATGTCTTCCACTCTCAATGGACATGTCTCACAGCTAGCCATAAAGGAGGACTGAGCGGACTGATGAGCAGTAAACTCGCCCTTTTGTCGATAGCCAGCCAGATATCACGTCTACGTCAGACACGGTGTAAACGGGCATATGAGAATGTGCTTTATCTTATATCTAATGCATATAAACGATGAAGCAAGAAAGTTGTGTGAGTAGTGCTTAAATAATGAGATTATGAGCAGTAATCAATTGTGCTCGAAGCATGTGGTCATCGACAGTAAATATTACTGTATAACAACACTACATTGTGTGATTTTATCAAAATAAAATCTTGTCCATAATGATGTTAATAGGTGTGTTCATAGGTCGCTGTAAGAGAACATCTACTTAACTGAAGAAATTCAGCTCCCTTTGGAAAGTTCTTCAAAAGTTCTGCAAAAGAATGGATGAGACTTCTCTCTCTTGATTTTTGATTTACAGCTTGATTCCACACCGTATTTTTGGTACAAGTATGGAATTTTCAGCATGGATATCGGTAGCCCAAATTTTGCAGGCCGACCATAGATATCAGGTGTGCGCCGGCGTGGGCTCGAACTCCGGACCATGTGGATGGTCGGCGAGAGTCCTAACCACTGTGCCACCGACGCAGAGTGGGATTAATACTATGTCAGCCAAAGAAGGATGTCCAATCAATTTTTTTTGTACTATGGTCATCATTAAACAGTCAATTTTCTGCTTAGAGTTTCCTATCCAGACAACTTCCTGTTTATTTATTGATTTATTTTTTTTGATCATTTAAGTTTTTAAACTTTTCAACTATTGGTTTTAGAGGGATTTGCTTTGATTGTATAAAGGATTCAATCATGAGCTCACATCAGGTAGAGAAACACTGGAAAACCTGGGAGTACTGGACAGCTGTTTTCCACGTCCTAGTTTGGGACTCTTCACCAGTACGC